GATTATTTATTACAGAATATTTATTTACAGATACTTACTGAATAATCTTTTGTATCTTCTGTATAAGTTAAAGCTTTAGGTACATCCGTTAAACTTTGATATCCGATATAATCATGTTCTAATTGTTTAAATTGACTAAGTTCAAGATCTGTTTCTATAGTATTTATAAAATCTAAATGTTCTATAGTATAAAAAATTTAATTTTGTTAATATTTAACAATAAATATTGATATAGTTATATAAATATTAAATTATTACCAATACAAGAAGAAGAAATGAGATTTTGTAATCGACCAATTCGTACTTTTGTTTTATCACAATATCCTTTTTTTAACATAGCAAAAAGATCAAGCATTTCTTTAAATTGTGGATCTCTAAATAAAAAGTTTATGTAAAAAATTATGTACATTAACAAATTATTTTTTAATATATTAATAATTGTTTTAAAAATTAATAAAATTAATAAATACCTCATATGTTCTTCTCGAATTAAAAGACATACAGTGGGTCGACCAGAAAGTCGCCAATATTTGCCTACAAACTGAAGCTCAGTTTTAATGTCATCAATTAATAAAGCCATATCTCTGTACAAATAAAATTCTGACACTTCAAATATTAGAGGATAACAAAGTACTGTCATACCACATACTCTATAGATCTACAAAAAAATAAATATTGATGATTTTTATAAAATTTTTATTTTATATATTAAACATACCTTACTTGTACCCAAAGATCCAATAGGTCTTCCTGGTCTGCCTTGTAAATTTAATTTAGTATTTACTCCCAATTTTTCATAGACTTTTACCAATTGTGTAGATGATAATATTTGTACAGGTTCTACTTCATGTGGTGTCTGTGTTTGAATACCATATGTTGCCATCATAGCTTGTAATCTCATAGATTCAGCAATAAGAACAATTTGTACTACAAGATCAGTATGAGTACCCTAATATAAAAAAATCTTATAGTAATATATAGATAAATCATGCATTATAATAATATATAAAGAATATTGCTAATATTATTATTTAAATTTTTTCATGTCTAAATATATCTAAAATCAAAAGATTTGAAATTCAAAGAAGATTCTTAAAAAAATAAATGATCAAATAAATCATGCCTTGATTCAAGCTTCATGCACTATATTATTAAACAGCTTTGAATGTATATTTATTAAAATATTTATATAATAAACAATTAACATAATAATTTGATATTAATATCAAACAAATAGTATACATTTAACACTACAATTAATTTAATACAAATCTACTAATCTATTCAAGCATATATTATATTTGTTTAAAAGCTTCAAATATATAAATATTATTTAATTAAAATTATAAAGCTATTATAAATTTAATTGTCAAGCATTAAAAAAAAATACTGCAAAATATACTATACTACACATATTTACTTACAATACTTGGTTTAGCCTGCATGAAACAAATATGTATCAAATAATTTATGCAACTAATTATAATATATTTTAATAAATATGCTAATTAAATTACATTATTACTTACTTGGAAAGCTGAATATCTTCCAGCTTTTCGTGGTCTATTATATGAAGGCAGATAACGTCTAATTGGATCTAATTCATTAATATGTAATAAACTAGCAGTAAGTAGTTGAGCAATTATAAACATAGCTTGATTCCATAAATACATGGGCCCAAGTTCTGTATCTGCAGAATTTTTCTGACCTTTGCCTTCATTGCTTGACACTCGATACGTACTACCAGGATCATTTCTTTCTGCCTCTAAATTTTCCTCAGGTACATAATAATACATAGGTATTACAGGATCTATTAATTAAATAAAATATAATATTATATTTATAATTCTATATCATTATAATTAAATCTATATTTATATATTTTTCAATATACCTCCATTCATATCTTTATATATTCTTTCTTTTAACAATTTTTGGTATTCTTCTACTTGTTCTGGCAAAGTTTTAAAAACACCATCAATAATCATAAATATATAAAATAAAGGCCATTCACATTCTATATTATCAAATTCCTACAACAAAAAAAAAGTTTTTTAATATTATAATCACTTAATATTATAATAAAGAGAATTATAAAAAATAAACAAATAGAAATTATGCATAATGAAATTATTTAAGCACTTTTCAAAAATATATACTAACAATCAAATACATCAGAGACCTTGATTTCACCAGATTTGTAATATCGCCGATCTTTGTTTTCTATAGCTGTTTTATATCCATCTCTGCCAAATCTTTTAAATCCATAATTTCCTTTTAATCTCCTAACAATATTTGCTTTTGTCTCATTATACAATACATCTTCATGAGTAGCAAATGCAGGAAAAGATATTGTTGGCAATAAAGCTATATCTACACTCTAAATATGTATTGTATTATATTATAATATATTATTAAACAAAATATATAAAAAATTATATTATAAAAACAACTTTACCTTAGAACTTGATTCTCTTGGAAGCATTGTTTCGAAAATACTACGATTTCGATTATGTGCATCAATGTCAACATATATAACTGACCAAGAAGCTCCTTTTTCTCCAAATAAATTACATCCATTAATAGCTTCAAGAGCACTTTTAGCTATACCAATTGAACTTGCATGTATTTCAGGTGTACCATCATTATATCTACTACCACGTTCCCACATGCCATAATCTGGTGTACGATATGCTCTTTCTACATAATAAACAAGATTTTGCACAAATGCTACTTCATCTTGAGTATATATAATTTGTAATCCAGAAGAAATCATTTGTACCAAAAATATCAAATATAGAGAAACAATATCAATCTGCAAAAAATCAATATTTTTTAATTGTATAACAGATAATTGTATTAGAAAATCATTGTTAATGCTTATCTTTTAATATTTGATCAAATAAAAATCATATAATGTTAAATAAAATCTATTTTCTTTTAATTATATTTATATAAATTATAATTACTTGTAAATGATTATAGTCAGCATCTTTAAAAATTTCATCACCAGTATCTAAATGAAATTTACAATGTAGAGCAAAACGATTACATTGATTACGTTTAAATAATTCTATTCGAGGTGACTGTTTTACCCAACATTCTAAAATTCCACGCATACATTTTACAGCAGATTGTCCAAGTTCATAAGATTTTCCACGATCATCATCTATACGTCTAAAGAACATAATATATTATTTATTAAATATTATATAATAATGCAATATAATGATAATATTAAATTTAAACTATTGATTTTATTTTAATACCTATATGCTTGATACAAACTCCATATAGCAGCAGCACAATAAATACTTTCTCTTACACTTCCAACTACTTTATCATTTGAAATTTGTGGAAAAAGACCTGTTATGCAACTTTGATAACGTAATAATTGTCTTTTAACTAAAAATTATATATAATTTTTATATTTTATAATGTTGTTTTTTGTAATTTTATATTATAATATAACATAAATAATAAAAAATAATATAAAAATATTTTCATACCAATTCCATAATAGATATCAAGTTGTCTAACTGTATCTTCATAATTGGATATCTTGAGAAACATGTCAATATCCAAATCAATAACACTACCTTGACGTGCATTTCTGATATGAGATCTATATATTTAAAAAATAATTATTTAAAATTTAATTACAATTAAAAATAAATTAATTATATTTTAAATCACATTTTCTTTTATAAAACACAGAACTAAACCTTTTTGTATTCATAGGTGTTGTCGCAAGAGATGTCATTTTATTCATAATGATCAATTTAACTTTTTTTAAAGTTGATCTTATTTAGTAATGCGCATATTCATTTAATAATAGTAATAATTATTTCCATTTGTTTCTTTAAAATCGATAACATTTATTTATAATAAAGTATTTAATAATTAAAATAAATTTAATGCAATACGAAATAATTACATTTGCAGGTAACTATATAACTAAAATAATAACAAGTTTTTTCTTTGATTATCGTATACATATACGCGCATTAACCTTGACTGTGTTCTTTTGAATACTTATTTTACTGATACTATAATCAAACTATCTATGTAATTGGCACACAGAAGCTATTTGCTATCTTTAACTTATAAATAGAAACTGAAACAGTTAATAGATTTATTCTTAACTTATTTTAAAATAAACCGAAAAATTTTTAAATTTAACAATTATATTTTGAAGTATTTTTCAATTTTTCATTATTTCATTATATGAATAAATCAAAATAAAAAATTTCCGAAGATTTTTATATAAGTTATAATTATACTTGAATTTTTGCAATAATTACTTTTGTTTTAGTTTATTATTAAATCATACTAGCAAACACATTTTATTAATAATTTTAGAAAATACTTAAGATGAAATATTTAATTTTAATTTTATTTTATTTTTAGATAAGTATAACACAAATACATATACATTCATAAATATTTAAAAAATTACATAATATTTATATTTTACGCTATATAATAATATTATATATCATATCATTTTTTTTTTTATAATAATTGAATGATGCATAATATATATTAATTATTTTTTTTATTTAATTTTTATTTAATTTTTATTTAATTTAAATATGTAATATTTAATGAGATAATTATTAATTATAAATAAAATTCATTATTGATACAATTGTCGTTCATTTTATTTAAATATAATTTTTAAAATATTAATTTTCATTAATATCTATTATATTTTTTAAATAATTTTGTAAATATTAAAAAATATTTGAAAATATATTGGTCATATCTTATTATATATTTAAATTAAAAATAAATTTGTATATATATATTTACTATTATTTATAATTTAAAACATTCTTTTAATTACATATACTTGTAGTTCATAAAATCTGACCAATGAACTCTTGTATTTTCTCATAAAAATGAGAATTCTAATGAGTGAAAATCAACCATAAAAAATCATTGCTAACATATTCTACGTTTGATCTGTTTTCTTATGAAACATTTTTAGAATGTGTTACGGAACACGCACGACTGTCGTGACAGAAAATTGAGTCAGTTCCGCAAGCAGAGCGCGAGAGCGGTTGCGTCTCTGTTCCGTTTATAATTATAAAATACATTCGTATATGATGGCGTCCGCGAAAAGAAAGCAAGACGAGAAGAATTTGAAAATATTACGCGAACTGGTTTCGCAATCTGGTAATAAAGAATGTTTTGACTGCCATCAACGAGGCCCAACTTACGTCAACATGACAATCGGTTCATTCGTCTGTACCTCTTGTTCTGGTATGCTGTAAGTACTCATTACTTATAAGAAGCCCATAAAGTGTATCAAATCTTCTTTCTTATAAAGGAAATAATTTAAAAATTATTTTATTCAAGATTTCTTTATATTATAAATAAAAATGATAAAATATATATTACAATTTTTATGATATTTAATGATTACAAAATTATAATATTTATTAGATAAATGTCAACATTTCAAATACATTAAATAGGTTTTAATCTTAACTAAAAATATTTTTTATACAAATCAATAATAAATTTTGTTGAAACATATGTACTGAATATATTATATTGGAAAGATTATAGATCTCTGTTAAATGTTCATGTTTACAGTCAGGAAGTTAACTATCAGCATCAGTATTTTCTTTATGCGTAGTAGTAGTAGTTGATAACAATGATCAAAATATACTTTTTCAAATAATATAGAAAATCAGTAGCTATTTTGTATAATCTATATTATAATTATTTTAGCTTTTTTATGAAGACAATATAAATTAATTATAATATATATAATTATTAGATGAAACAAATGGCTAAATTATTAAATATAATAAATATATTTAATATAAAATATAAAAATATTAACAGTAAATAATATTTTTTATTTTCAGATTTTCTATCAATTTTTCATTTAAAAATTATAAATAATTATTTTATGAATTTTATATTTTTATTATATTTTATTTATTTAATAATTTTATTTAAAATTACAGACGAGGTTTAACACCACCACATAGAGTAAAGTCTATTTCTATGGCAACATTTACACAAGAGGAAATAGATTTTATAAAGGAACGTGGTAATGAATATTGCAGAAGAATATGGTTAGGTTTGATGAATCAAAATTCATCTCAAAATTTAGATACAAAAGATGAACAAAAAATGAAAGATTTAATGAGTGCAAAATATGAACTTAAAAGATATTATTTGGATCCATCCATGGCAAATCAAAACTCAAATCAAAAGTCACAATCATCTAATCAAATCAACATTCCAAGGGTTCCACATTCTGGAACATCTACATTATCTTCCACATCAACTTCAAAAATAAACAATGTTGAGTCAGTTAATTTTAATAATTTTTCGACAGATTTTGTAGCTGATTTCAGCAAAGTTCCTGATCCATTTATTAATACAACACCTGCAAGTAAACTCAGTCAACCAATTGTACCTCAGCCATTCTTTGCCAATTTTGACAACAATCCTGTTTTTAATAGTCCAAAAAATACAAGTAAATTGAATCAATATTTATATTTCTACATATTAGTACAATAAAATTTGTATATTAACAAATAATTTTTTTTAGATGTTGAATCCTTAAGTCCACTTAGTCAGACTACAGGAAATTTGACTAATACAATGAATGCAAATGGTACACATGTACCTCCATCAGAAGATCGTTATGCGGCACTGAAAGACTTAGATTCCTTAATGAAGCAAATACAATTGAAAGATGATACTGCAACAACATTAAATACATCTACATGGAATACTAATAATGGTATATCCATATGGCAATAAATAATTTATTAAAATTTTACAGAATTATATTGTTCTTTTTTTAGCTACAAATTCAATTTGGAGTGTAGGAAATCAAACTACAAATGTAATTTCAAATCCATTTACAACTGGTGATTTATGGCGACCATCTAATGTAGTTAATAATAATACACAATCAATTGATACTTCTTTATACAATCCTATTAATCCTTTTAAACCAGTACAATTTCCTGTGAATAATGGTAAGATTTAATTTAAATAATAAAAAATTCAATGTGTCCAGAATTTAAAATAATTAAAAAAAATATAAATATTTTAGATCCACAATGGGTAGGTATTGGACCATCTAGTAACAGAGATGTAATTCAATTTAGTCAATTAATGACAAATAAAGTATGGCAACCAACTCTTCCTGCATATCATGCAAATCCATTTATGGTATAATAGTATTTTCGTTTTTATGATATATATCCATACATAAATGTTTAAAAACATACAAGTTTTTTTAGGTTGGTTCTGGTGTGAGCAACATGACAAGAAATTCGAACAATCCTTTCTTATGATTAAATAAGCATAAGTTTTTAATGGAATTACGAACAAATAATATAGACCTAAAATATGTTTAGCTTAGGGCAATTGTTTATATATGTGACCTTATTGGCAATTAGTGCCATTAATTTTTATCTACAGGAGCACCAATCTCTTATTCATATAACTAAATAATACTTTTATTTATGAATATAATATACACGTTAAATAAATAAAGATTAATATTTGTTACCAATCATGTATTAGTTATCTAGTAAAATTATCCCTTAATTTAATTTAATTTAATTTGATTCATTTATATTATTAAAGTATTTGAGTCAAAATATATATTTTTTTTCTTTTTTAGAATATATATTAAAATATGTACATATTTTAAATATTTGAAACAAAAATATTTAATTTCTATATATTTCTAATTATTACATATTTAAATATAAATATAGTAAACAAAAATATATAGTAATAATAAAAGGATTGTAAAAGAACTAGATTTTACCTGATGCACACTTAAATATAGTTTATTTACTTAAAAATTTCTAATAAATACAAAATCACAAATGAACACTTAGTCTTTGTCATAATTCAATACCAATAGATTCAGAGTAGAGATTCACTTAACCGGTCATAATTGCATGATAATTAACCATTATTTGATCATTATACTTGCAGTCTACATTACGCGTAGTTGTAAATATATTAATTGTAATAACATGGTCGGTCGTGTTTTACAATTATATGTAGATATAATGAGAAGCTTTGTGTGTCAACTAGTCAATTGTCATATAGCTGCCGTACAAATGTTTCGTTTTTCTTAGCTTTGTTTGCTAAATAGTATGGAAGCTCCAATGAATGATAAAGATTGTTGATGGCAATTACTTAGAGTAATAAATTATTTATCAGTGTAAATGGACAAACAATCAAGAAACACTAATATATGAGTTCACCAATTATATTAATTATGTATAAACATACGAGATGTGTGATATTGATATTACTAGGCAGGCATTGTGTATCCCAGAGATACATTCCAAAGCGCATGGACCGTTTCATGGCACGAATTCACCTAGCAGCCATTACTACTGGGGTTGCCTTTTGGCAATGGGCGCACCAAATACAATTTCTCACCCTGCTTATTAGTATAAATAGGCGCTCGTTGATAATGATCTACTAATTGGTCTAATGTATGAAATTTTCTTTGACCAATACAATATAATGCTCCTTCCACATGTACCCTAAAGTGTTTATTACGACCTGGAGCTTTTAAAGATACTGAATAATCTCCCACCTAAAAATTATAATAATATAGAAATAAAAATATTTTATTATAAAAATTTATTAAAAATGTATTATTTATTATTGTTAGTAGAATAATAATTCAAATAAACTAGTTTAAAATAACTGAATTAAAATAATTTTTATTATTATACTTACATTAGTTTCACTATCTCTAATTAAAAAGTCACCATCATGACCATGTTGATTCAATAAAGTGTCACATTGTGAACGTGAAATGCTACCATAGTACCAAGGTTTTCCAACAAGATGTGGTCTATCACCAGGATCTGGCCTTCTTTCAAGGGAATCTCCTGTACTAATCTCACTACTTGTCATTCCTCTTTCACGATATGGTTGAGTCAAATATTCACTGAGTTCTTGAAGATAATTACGTGGTACTAGACCTATTTGACCTTGACTGTTTCGTGCTTTATACCATTCAGGATCTGCTGGCGGACGGTCAAGGATTTCCAAACGATCACCTTTTTCAAAAGATAGTTCTTGATCATTATTAGAAGAAAATGAATAAAGTGCTACAACAATATCAAGAACATTTTCTGCCATTGCATATGTATGAAGAGTATCATCTGCATCTCCTTCTTCTTGAGTATAATTTGATGGAAACCAGCCTGCTTGTGTACCACTTTGACCTCTCCACCAACCATCGTTGCTTTTTTCCAATATTAAGATTCTAGTACCTTTAACAAGTGATAGTTCATCTGCTTGTTGTGCTTGATAATTGTACTTGACAACTGCTGTGCCTATTGCTTCACTTGGATCAGCAGGTAAGCGCCTAGCCATAATAGGAGATTCCACAGCTCTAGATGGTGAATTACTGGATGGTAGAGTTTTTGAACCAGAACCTTTTTTGACTTTCTTTTTGATACTATCAAAAAGAGATGGTTTTTCTTTCTTGACATAATTACTTGGCACATAACCAGCTTGCCCTCGCGCACTTTGTACTCTCCACCAGTGTTTAGAATCATCAAGAAGCAAGTAACGTTCATTTTTACGTAAATCTAATTCCTGAGCACCTTGTGCTCCATAATCATATTTGGCGACAACATAGCATACGTCGTCTTGACTTGTCTTGCCTGAAAATGGTTAAATTTTTTAAATTTTTTAATTCATATTTTATTATAATTTTAAAAATAATATAATCTTTCTATAATACACAAAATATATAATGAATATGAAAATTTGATTAGTAATACTCCTAACTTTTAAATATAAAATTATTAGAATAAAAAGAATATTCCTAAAAATATCATATTATATATAAATAGAAAACTTATTATTTAAATATGAACATAAATAAAATAAATAATATTTTATAAAATTTAATATATTTAATGATAATAATATTAATTAAGAAATAATAAAGAAAAAAATAAATAATATTGAAATTTAAAAAATAAGAAATCTAATATATTAAAAAATTTAATATATCCAGAATTTATACTATATAATACCTAAATGAATACAATTAATGACATTAAATTGTTATCTATTCATAATTTTCTATAATATCTTTCTCAAGAAAAAAGAGACATAAATAGTATTAATTAAATTAAAAAAAAACTATGTATATGTATAATGTTATCTGTAATGCAAAATTACTAAATATATATAAAATAATATCTGTATTAAGTAAATGTGTTTCAAAAATAATAAAAAATATCAAATATATTATAGTTGTAATATAATAGTATAATATAGTATAAACTATATTATTTATAATTTATTTATATTTGCTTTTTTATAATATATTTTTTATAATTATTTTTTAAGATATTTAAAAATAATTTATACATTATAATTTATAATTTATATTTCTCTGAAATTAAAAAAAATTACTAAATAAACAATATTATAAATTAATTTATTTAAATTACATCAACAAATTGATGTTTACTATGAAATATTATTAGTTAGCTGAAAATTTAAAAACCTTTATATATGTTATGTATTTAATTGTTTAAAAAATTATTCTAAGTTTTTTTAGTCCATTGTTATAATATTCTCAAATATAATTAATATAAAAAAATAAATATAGACTATTTACTTAGAAATATATTTTAAGATATATTAAAGATGTATTAATTAACTTTTTTTTCTTGATAAATTATATGGCCATTAAAACAAATTTACATACAAAGCAAAGCATACAAGAATAAAACGTACCATGCTTCATGGCTGCCATGTGCGAAAACAGATATATACGTCTGAGTGTGGCGTGAGTAGCTGCTACTCACACACTACTTGAATAAATATTAAATCTGCTTGTTCTGTGTTGGCAGCGTGAGTGCAGCAGGCATTCATTCTTTAGCTTTTTGTTTAGTGTTGATATACCTGCTGATTTCTTTGCTCAGAGTCCATCGTTCTCAAGGGTAGGGCAAGCAAGTGCATTACCAACACTTTAGAAAAAATAAAACAATCATTAACTTGATATCATATAGATATATTATAAAATATAATATTTTTTTATATCACAAAAAAAATGATACAATATGTTTATATAAATATATATAAATTTGATTAAAAAAATATTGATTAAAAAATATATTTATTTGTTAAATAACATATGTATACTTATTTTATTAATATAAATTATCTTCATAATTTTTTTAATATAACTATAAATATAAATAATTATTAAATATTCTTAATACAAATTATATAATTTAATTATTATTAAAAAAAATTTATATAATATATAAAAATATAATTTTAAAAATAATAAATTATATATAAAGAATAAAGATAATAAAATCTATTTTATGTTTTATATATACATAATTTATATATTTATATATATAAAATAATATTATTTAGAAATATTAATATATTTTTATAAATTAATTATATAAATACATGAATGAAATAACTTAAAAAAATATAAAATTTAATTAAAAACTATATCTTCCTTTAAAGATAAGTATATATAATTGTTAAAAAAAAATATATTTTAGAGATAAGATAAGATAAATTAAATCATTAATACTAGAAATATATATATATATATATATATATATATATATACAGATATATATTAAATAAATATTTTAAATATAATTTTAAATTAAATATTGTTATTAAACTTAATATTATTAATGTATTTTTTCAATAAAAAATTATAAAAATTATTTAAAAAAATATAAAAATAAAATACTTTCAATACTATCATTGATTGATAAAAAGAACATTAAACATTCATGCTATCTACAATATATTATAAAATAAAATAATATAAAAACATATAAAAAATATTACTAAAATCATTTAAGAATCAAAACATATGATGAAAATAATAAGTAAAATAAAAAATTTATAAAATAAAAAAATATCTATAAAAAAAAAATGAATACAAAATATTATTTAATATTTTATAGGTATGTATAAGAAAAAAATGGAAAAAGTTTATGAAAAAATTGAAAAAAAAGAATTGTAATACAATTTCAACTATAAATAGCTTATATATTATAAAATTCGACAAACGTCATAAGCGATGATTTGATAAAACACGCGAATGTGCCGCCCATTGTGAAATATTTACATACGCAAAGGAACGTGTATACGATAATTATTTTCTGTTCCCCTTCGCGTAAAACTTAAAAAAGAACTGGTAATTCTCGAAGCACGTATATAGAGTACGTTCATTGCCTTCTTGTCTACCATACTACAAAAGCAAAGTAGAAGCGTGTTGGATGCAAAGGGGCAACAATTAGCACGAGTTAACTCAGCCGTTCCTTTTATTATTTATGAAATAAGATAATTTCTTGTTTTATTATTGAAAAAAACAAATAAATATTAGCTTACCGATTTTTAAACTAGACATATTCCTGCATACAAGCTTCGAAATTTTACGTCGTTATACAGCTTGTTTTCCCCCACCCTGGGCCGCCATGAACGGGAGCGACTAGAGTATATAGGGGAATGAATCTTTATGGGGAATCGGGTCGAATAAAGAGGGGGCTTGGAAATTAGGGAAAGATAGCACAAATCGTAGAAAACTCCATCCAACAAAAAGTTTTGGTCACTGTCACGTTGTCAATAATCATTGAACACAGAAATACAATATCAACACTTTTACCCACAATATTAATTTTCATAAATCCATACAAAATATATGTAAGATATGGATATTATTGTATTTTTTAATTATTATACTTAGAGACATTTACATGACCCCTCCCGAAAAAAGAACAGACCCACCCTTAATCCAAAGACGTTGAACGACCATGCGCGCAACTAAGATTATCGTCTCTGTGAATTGCATCCAATACGATGCTGGCGCCATGATATAAAATAATTTTAGTATTTTTATTCATAAATTCAGTCGTACAATCGATAGGTTACTTTCTAATTTCTTATTTTTGTTTATATTTTTATTATAATATACTTTTTAATTTTTAAAAAATCGAAAATGATAAATTATATATAAAAAATGTTAATCCTTTATTATAATTTTTAATGTTAAATAACAATACTTTCAATACAATTTTTTAATACAAAGTTCATTCTCATGAAATTATATAGTAATAGTTATGCTCTTTCCACAAAGTAGATATTTAAAATCTGAGATTTACATTTAAATTAAACAAATTAATATGTATAATAAGTTTAGATTTCTAGATTATATGTTTGTGTTTGTTTGTAATAGTATGTTAACATGATAGTCGTATTTCTCTCAAACGTGACATCTAAGAATATAGAAACTTATGTTGACATATGTCATGTTTAGTATCTTTTATATTTATTAATTTAATATTAAAAAAAATATATAAAAATTTAGCAAAATGAAATATATACAATAAATATATCTTATTAAATCTAAAAGAATATAGAATTAATGGATTAATTAATGGATTAAATTAATGGATTAATATATTTTAATATTATAAAATTAAATTATACTTTATTGATAATATGATTGTATTTAATGAAAGAAAATTTTAAAAAAGTTTTTCATTAATCATATTAAATTATTATATAATTTAAAATAATGGACAATTTGTCTGATTCATTTAAAGCAGAATTAGATTCTGCTACATCAACAGATTCTCTGCAATTAATAAGTGATGAATTTCATATTAGACATTTATCAACACCAGATGTTTCAAATATAGAATTGTCAAAACGTATTGCATTACTAGAATTAGAAAATGAACGATTTCGAATAGATTTAGAAAATATGCGCATTGAACTCAATGCCAGAATTGCAGCTAATGAAGGGCTTAAAGGAAAAATAACAGAATTGTATGTAGAAATGCAATTAGTAATTCAAGAAAAACAAAAATTACAAAATACTTTAACAGATGTAAATAATCATTTAGATTCATCAGAAACATCTGTAAAATGGTATCAGTCTCAAATATATGGGTTACAAGCAAACAAGAAGACTTTACAATTAGAAATTGATACTTATCAAGGAATTTTACAACAGAGACAACAAACTATAGCAAATATAAATACTAGATATAAGCAATTGAATACAGATTATATTGAACTTCTTCAAAAACATCAAAAAGAAAAACAAGATTTGGAATGTGAAATACAAAATTTAAAGACACAAAATCAATCAAATAATATTTTAAAATCATTAGATATTAGTACTACTTCTAGTTCTCCAGATGTTTCTACAAAGTTAGAATTAACAGAAGATGAACTACAAAGTACAAAGGCAGAGTTAAAAGCATTAGAAAAACGATTTTTAGGTAATGAAGTTTCTAAAGCATTGATGGAAAATGCGTTAGCCAAGCAACGTATATTAATTACAACTATGGAGGAAAATATACAAAAATGTGAAACTGAAAAAAATCAAACTGTTAATACATTGCGTAAAGCACAACTTGAAATTCAAAAGTTGAAATCTGAGAATGAAACATTGCAGACTACTCTATTTTCTTCTAAGCAAGAACAAAGTCAAATAGAAGATGCAATCTTCCAATTGCGATTACAATTAACAAAAATGATTGCACAATATAAGCTTCTAAAATCAAAAAATATAGAAGCAGAGGAAAAATTAAATTCAATGCAAGATATAATAAATGAAAATAAGCGTTTAAAAACATTATCATATGAAGCTAACACTGCTTTAATTAGAAAACTTAGGCAAGAGAAACGAAAAATAAAATTTTTAGAAAATAAACTTCATGGTATTCAAATCAAGGGACATTTGAACAATATGGTATAAAATAATATTTATAATATCTATATAAAATTAATAAAATTTATTGGAGAAATAACATATAATTATTTTATATATATTTTGTTTTAGAAAAATAAAATGGATGTTTCTTTACAAGAATGCCTAAAACAAGTTTTAATAAGAAATAAAGTAATTTTCACTATTAATTTTTTATACATAATTTTTTGTTTTTTTTAAATAATCTGATATTAAAATTATATTATTTTATAGGATTTAAAAGATCAATTGAAAGCATTAACAAAAAATTCAGATGAAAGTATTGATGAAGGATATGGTGATAACAGTATTGTTAGTTCCATTTCTATAGACATTCCATCACCTAAATCTATCAATCCAGTATTATTAGATACAGCATCTAATGTTTTGCTGCAATTTAAAGATTTTTATAAGCCAGTACAAACAGAACTTGAACATTTAAAATTAAAACTTAATAAACTGAAAGAACAATGCACTATATAGTATTTAATTATTTTACTAATTATTATTTATTTTTAATTATTTGTGATTTAATTGCAAATTATGTATTAAACATTTATAAAAAATCATTATAAATTAAAAATTGATATAATTAAACTCATTATTATTATTATTATTATTATTATTATTATTATTAATTTTAGTAATTTTATAATTGTTATAAATATTATAAGTTGAAAATTTATTTGTATAAATATTTTATGAAGTCTAACAAATGTACGTTTTTAATTGAAGATAAAAAGTATTGTTGTAAAATTTTAAACATATATATATATATATAATAAAAATAAATTATTTTATTATTTTTGTTACATTATTACTAGATCATATTTTTTAATTCAGAATAAAGATAAGAATATAAATGTATTAATATTATTTACATTTAAAAATTCTTATAATTTTTATCTTAAATTCTATATGTTAATTAAATGCATTTTAAATGAATATATAATAGAAAAATAAATTTTATTTAGAATTTTTTATTAAACTGTTTATAATATAAATACTTTATATTAATCAAAAACAATATATATATTATTTTTATAATTTATTTTATTTTTAATTTAGTGTACATTACAATTTTATTCATGGAAAAATGTTTATTGCAATTATTAATATTACTATAATTTAAAACATTTTCCATTAAATATTTTTATTACATTGATAAGAAACAAATATCAAGATTATAATATTTTATAGTCACAAATATGCAATGAATTCTCAAATTTTAATTTCTGACATATACATACATATATTTATAAAATAAGCATAGTAGAAATTGAAATATAGTTTTCTTTTTGAAAATATCACAGATGAATATAATATCAATATTATAAATATAAAAAAAGAAACGAAAAATTATATTGTAAATATATTAAAATATGAATTTAAATATAATTGAAATATCTTCTTTTTTTGATATATAAATAAATATTATTTAAAATCAAAATAAAATTTAAAAATATTCTTTTTTATCTGATTTTCTTTAAAAAATGAAATATAAATTCATCAAGAAGATAGGTATATTCTTCTTTAGTTAAAAAAATAAATTTAAAAAAATATTTGAAATATAATTAAGTTAAAATTTTTGTATAAAAACAATTTTTTATTGCAATTTTTTATTGCAATTAATTCTCATATTGAACATATTTTATATATATATAATATAATATATATAATAAAAGCAAATAAATATAAAATATTAATTTATTATAATTTTCAATTACGTATTTTAATTATTTTTTATTTTTAATTGAGATAAGTTATATTTAAAAATATATATATATAAAATATAAAAAATGCATAAAATTACTTCTTCATATTCTATTTAAAAAAAAGGTAATAATTAATTGTAACGAAATTTACATAATTTTACTAATATATTTTGACATTTAGAAAAGCATTTTCTATTCTTGGACATCATAATAGTCTTAATAACGTATAATTAATTTTAATTCAAATTTATTATTCTAAAAAAAAAAATTATATAATTATGACAAAATTAATATCTTAATTTAATTGAATTGGAATGATCTAAAATTATAATTATTTTTTTTTAATTTTTTCTTATTTTATACTGTTTATAAATATCACACTTACAAAGAAGATTTTTACATATCAATAAAATCTTCTTTTGCATATAATAAAAAAATATTTACAATAAATCTCTTTAAGATATTTAAAAATAAAGTAATAGTAAAATTAAATACAAATAAATTACAAAAGTAACTTACATTCTTTGAATATAGATATTACATATTTGCGGAAAAAATTTTCTGCATTGAAAATAGGCTAATGTGCATTGTTTGAATAGTTTCAGAAGTAGTGGTTGATTCATGCATTAAATCAAAATTCTCAACTCTTGAAAGGTATATTTCATATGTTAAATTTGATATATAATAGCATTACATATTTTTACTAAGGATTTACATTGCTTTTGTATGCATAGAGCAAAAATTAAATTTTTGATTCCTTCAAAAGGAATAAACAAATATCTGTTTAAATACTGATCCATGTCTGCTCTGTTATATAGCACGATCTATATTATTAATAATTTTTACATGAAAATGAGTATTATAAATTATGTTAAATTTATTTGAAAATTATTGATTTAGAAGCGATACATTATTTTTATGCTTTGAGATCATTAAATTTTAAATTACTAGTATAAAATATTTTTAATATACTATTTTGATTGCGTATATATTTTTTTTTTATTTGTTTGTAATATGCTACAGTACTTACAGCTCTGTATACATATTTATACTAAAAAAAAGAACTAACTTTGTACGATTGTAGATCGTTTAAAAGAGCACCATGGCTTCAGTCTACACAGACAGTCCTTGGAAGTTTTAACATATCCCATTTTATACGCCATTACGTTATAACGGGAATGTTGTTGAACAATAAAACCTATAATATCATAATATAAAAGTAATTTAAAATTAAATAATTGTTATATAATACATACATAATTATGCTACTAATGCTATTCATATTATTGTATACATTTAGCAAAATAGGAGACCAGACAGTAAATAATTTATCTCGAACCCATTGTCATCTGGGAGTAGATTCCGTTTGTCTAAGTCTGTCAAATTGTCGGCGATAATGAGCTCGTCCACGACCTCTATTTCGATGTCCATGATTATTATGTCCATGGTAATTATGATGTAATTGTCTTGATTGATAGTGAGCATTTTGAGTTTGATGTGAAGATTGTTTTGACTGTGATATTTAAAAGAAAACAATTTTATATAATATATAATTAAATTATTTTATATAATATATAATTTTGTATATTAGTAAAATTAAACATCATAAATATTAATTCTATTCCCAACTATACACATTTTTCATTAAAACAATTAAAATATTTATATAAAAATATATGTTTATATAATATAATTAACATATAATTAACATACCATCTGATTAACAGGTTGCACTGAATAGGTATTTACACTAGTTCCTGGAGGATTGGGTCCTTCGGTTGTAGCACCAGATTCATCTTCGGTTCTAACTAACGTTTTTACACCTTCAGCTTCTAAATCAATTATACCACCCCTTTCTTGTTGTCTTAAAAATAATGCTGCCATCTGCTTTTGTAATTCTCTCAATTCTGCAGTTACTGAAAAATCGATAGCAGCTTCAACATCAATTGGAGGTGGAGCAGACCATAAACTTTCTACATCACAATTGATGGATTCTCGACATACAGGACATATAGCCTATAAAATTATAATATATTTAATGGTCATTCAATATTTCAACTTTGTTTATATCAAATTATATGAGCTAAATAATATTACCTGAAATTTATTAGTAGTATCTTGTTGCCATTGAGGCAATTTTTCTTGCTCCTCTCTATAATATCGTTCTGCAGCAGCAACATGTGCTGCTAAACAATGTGAATGAAAATAATGATAACATTCAGTTTTTGTAAATTCATCTCCTTCCCGAAAACCATACAAGCATATGGCACATTGATCCGTTGGAAGATTACTTCTTGTAAGGTGTTCTCTTATTAACTGTTATAATAATATCACATTAATATAATGAATATATAATCATTAAAATAATAATTTTGTAATTAAATTACATTAATAAATAACAATATAAATTATATTTTTAATAGTAATAAAATTTAAAAATATATTTTTTTGTAAAATATAAAAAAATATATTTTTTTTATATTTTTTATATAATATATAACATATATAATAATATATAATTCAATATTTTAATATATTTCAATATATATTGTTATTTTAAAATATATTAATCATAATACTTTACAAATTGATTATTTTTAATATGTATTACATACCTCAATGAGTTCAAACATAACTGGTTGACCTATAAAATTCTTACATTTTGCTTCTGCATCTGATTGCATAAGTCTCACAGTATTTTCATCTAAACCTCTTGGATTTCTGAGATTAATAGTAGGTGATATATCAGGATATCCTGCAGGTAACTGAACAATCAGTGTTACACAAACATATTGAGACTGTGAATCTTCACCAGTTGAAGGAAATAATACAGTCTCAATATATTCTGGTTCACCTCTGAAAAAAAATTGATTTTCATAATTCATAATAAAACTAACAATAAATTAACTAATAATTTTAAAACTAATTAACTAATAATTTTATATATAATCACATATATAATTAATGGCTATATAATTAAATATTAATTAATAAAATATAAAATCAATAAAAAAGAAAAATATATATAAATATATATAAATATAAATATAATATAAAACACGTAATGCTTTTTTTTTCTCTCTCTATAATATTTAAGAAAAAAATATAAATAGATTAAAAAATAATAAAAATAAACTAATAACTCTTTTTATAAAGATAATTTTGTTCTATATATGTTATATTACAATATTTAACATTTATTATTATACATTATTATTATATATATATATGTATATAATATATTATGTATATTATGTATATAATATATATAACAATTATTATTATATAATAATATAGTAATTGTAAACATATAAAATTATTTCTTTGTACTTACAGATTTTTTATATATACAATATTTGAATATTTGAATATTTTAATATTTTAATATTTTAATAATTAAATTTTTTTATTTTTAGAAAATTTAAATTTATATATACTTATATATTTGAAAAACATAAATTTTTGTTTTTTATTATAATTTATATAATATATATTTTATAATATATTTTTATAATAATTAATAAAAATTAATAATAATTAATTAATAATAATAAAAATAATATGAAGTATTATAAACATGCTAATATTATAAAGATTTTATAATATTAAGATTTTGTATCATATTAAGAATTATGAATATAACATTATTATAATTAATAAATATATAGATTTAAAAAATAAACATGCTTTTACATAATGTTATAAATGTAATTTTATTTTTAAATGAATTAATAAATTCAAAAAAATTATAATTCAAATTATATGAGATTATAATACATTATAATAATAATATTATAAATTAACATTAATTTAAATTAATTTATTTTTAAAATTAATATTAATTTTTAAAATTAAAATTAAAATTCAAATATATTTTACTTTTAAAAAATATATTCATTAAATTTTGAAATTAACAATTATTATTTTGCAATTAAATTTGAATTTTTATAAATCATATGCTTAACTATTATATTTATTTTTTGAAAAAAATATATTTTTATTATAAATTAAATCTTTATAATTTATAATGATTAAAAGGTTTAAAATGACAATTGATTCAATTATTAGGTTACAAGTATCAAATTTCTTATAGAAAAAACTTACCTATCATTTTCCTTTATATTTAACTCATCATCAAGCAAAATTGCTTTTAATGCTTCGATTTCATCGGTTACTCTACAAAATATTTTAACATCTATTTCAAAAAATTGAATATTTATCAAAGCATATCTAATCTAAGATTTTATAAAAATTACCTTTCGTCTATTATCGTCTCTGACATTGTTTTTAGAATATGCAATAGTATATTTTGTCTCGTGAAAATCACTTTGAATTTGACAATACAATTTTGTTAGTCTTCGACGATTACAGGATTCTCAATAAGCGTCAATGTGCGTCAATATTGAAAGCCTTCTGCTACTATTACTGTTACCAACTGGATCACTTCAGAATTATTAGTAATGTTACTATAGTTACTATTATAGTTACAAAAATTATATTTTTGTTAGTAAAAAATGATTTAATTTTGCTTTTCTTAATAAAAAAATTCTTAATAAAGTACTTATATTCTTATTATAATAAATATTTTTCATATAATAAAATATAATATATAATAAAATATGTATTCACGTCATATATTAAAGTATATTATAATATAAATTCTATTAATTTAATCGTATTTATTTTAATAATACTATTAAAAGTCAGTTACAATAAAAATGTTGTTAATTATAATTAATTATTTAAATAAATCTTATTTCAAATAAATTTTGTAATTGAAATAAATCATTGTAATGTTAGTACTTAAATTTTCTTAGGTTTATCTCTGTTAAATGTAACAAACAATATTTAATAAACAACATAAAAGTTAGCACTTAATAATAAAATAATAATTAAAATAAAATAATAAAGAAAAATAGAGAAATATTTATATTAAAAATTTAATATAAATATAAAAATATTAACTAAATTTATATAAAAGAAATATAAAGTATATATAAATAAAGATATAATATAGTATATCATACAAATATATAATTATAAAATATTTTTAAGTTATTAATTATTTATGAAAAAATATATTTTGTAGTATTTCTTATAATTAAATTTCTTATGTAATGTTTATATTGTAGTAATATATTTTTATATAATTAATTATATTTTTAGTTTTGTATGTAAAGAATGGCTGCAACTAAATATATTGATTTTATATTATACGTTTCACTTTTGTTATCATGTATATAACCTCTTATTACTATAGTTTGATAATGTTGTGTAAATTATAAAATTAGTAAAATTTTTTATTGTATAAAAATATATGTCATTATGCCAGAGAATAAAGAAAAAGAAGAAGAAAAACCTGTTGTTGCAAAAACAGCAATTGATTTACAACGATTAAAACTTCAAAAATTGATGAAAAATCCGGTAAATATCAAAATATTAAAACATTACTCTAGTTATATTTTTATTTTTTTCTTTTTCAGTTTCAAACAAAACAAGAAGTATTATACAAATCATTTCTATCTTTTTGCATATTTTTAATGACTTTGAATTTATAAATCTATATTCATATGATATATTCATATAATATCTATGATTCCTGTATTAAATTGATTTTATTCTTTTCAAATGCCTAATATTGTTAATATAAAATGTTTATTTGTTTGTTGTAATAGGAAAAACCTATTATATTACCAGAACGACCTAAAGCTAAAAGTACACCTACAGTACCAGAATTTGTTCGTAATGTAATGGGTAGTAGTGCAGGTGCTGGTAGTGGAGAATTTCATGTGTATAGACATTTAAGACGTAAAGAATATGCACGACAAAAATTTATTCAAGAAAAGGGTCATAAGGTAACAAATAATTTTATTTATAATATAAGTTATTATATGGTTATATTATTATGATTATATACATGATTATATACACATATTATTATTTTTAAAATATAATTATTTAACATGAAGTAAACTTTATATTATTAATTTTATATTATTATATTATTAACTTTATATAATTAATTTTTATATTATCAAATATAAAAATTATTTTTATTAGATTAAATGAATAGTAGAAATGAATAATACAAAATTGTCCTTATTTCATTTAATGTCTTCATTAGGAACTTTTAGATGCAGAATATCATAAAAAAATTGAAGAAAATAAAAGAATAGCTAAGGAAATAACTGCAAAAAAAAGAGCAAAAAGATTAAAAAAAAAACAGAAATGGAAACAAAAGAAAAAGATAAAAACTACAAATGTAGAACAACATAACAAGAATGAAAATAATATATATTCTTCAGAAGAAGAAAATTTAAATAAACAGGAATTAAATAATAAAAATGATAAAATAGTTAAGAATATATTAAGTTCAAAAGATTTTAGTCAATCCGAAGAATCAAATTCTATTGCAAATACAAATAAAAATAAAGTTGGTAATACAAAATATATAGAAATAAATGTAAACAATTCAGCTCCTCAACAAAAATAAATAAGATTTGGATTAAAGCAGTAATTATAACAATTAAAGTAATAAATAAAAAATTATGATTTTAATTTTAATATTTATTCTGCTAAAATTATTTTGAAAAAAATATTATATATATATTTAATAATAAGTAAAATTTGAAAAATCATTTAAATAAAAAAATTATAAAATGTTTACATTTTAATTAATTGAAACATATTTCAGATATATAACATAAATGATATCATATTTAAAACTTATAGATTTCATATATAATGTAATCCATATAAATAAAAATAATTCAATATTAAAAATTACATAATTTTTTTATATTTTATCATACTAATAAATATACTATTGTATTATTTAAAAAAAATCTATTTAATTTAAAAATTATCTTTGTATGTAATATTTGCATTTATATTTGTATATTTTATTATTTCTATCTATTCTCTAAAAGCAAATTTTTATCAATTCAATATAATTTCTATTTCTAAAATATTTATTTAGAATCATTTTATATGCTTATTATGTACATGAACATATATATATATATATATATATACTGTTCGCGACTTAAAAAATTTTTTAGAAAAAATATAATTAGTTGATTTCACGATCAATGAATTTGATTAATTGATTAGATGAATCTAATTCATATATTCATAAAAATAAGCATATATATATTAATTAATTGAATTATACCAATAAAATGATTAATTGAAATATACCAATAAAATCATGTAGCATTATGTATTACAAAAAAAAATTTGTCTTGCCTCTATGACGAAAGATTTTTTTTGTCAGCCGCGAACAATACTTACATGGTTTAGATATAATTATATATATAATTTTGATTACAGGATATATATATATATATATATATAATTGTATATACATATATACAATTAATATATAATTATATAATATATATATATATATAATATTTTTTACTATTATACATTATTCAGAAAAATAATATCATCTAAATTATCAAATCGTTTAGTTCTTTCAAAAATGCCTGCTAAACTTTGGGCAATTTTTCGTTCTTCTAATAATAAAGCATTTTTCATATATTTTTCAAATTGAGATTTTGCTTTTATTATATCTCCCATTTTTTCAGGAACAATAATTTCCTAAAAAATATATATATATATCTATATATGTATGAACACAAATTTTTAAATTAATAAAAATTATTTTTTAAAATAAAAAATTGTAAATATAATAATATTAATAAAATTAATATATTTTAATAAACAGTTAATTTTTTTAATAAATAAAGGAATCATACCTGAAATTGTTTTATGTAACTAGAAACATCATTTATATGTTCACTTATTTCTGCCCAAAGATTTTGTAAATCTGATACTTCTGTGTAAGCAGCCACATGGCTAAGAGTAAGGCACAACTAAAAACATAATAATGATAATATTTATATATATATAATTTCGATTATAGATTTAATAATAATATTAATTACCTGTTGAATAAGAGCATCACGATGAGGATACTCGATATAACTCGGTACATATTGAGAATTTTCAAAAGCTAAAATAAGACTCTTCCATAAAATTATTATATATTTTCCATAGGAATTACAAGAATATAATGCCCATGCTGCATTAGTACGCACTTTAAAATTTGGACTATTGCAAATTAGATTGCATAATGCAGGAAATACTTGATCCTACTAAAACAAAAAAATTGTATTAATTGTAATATAAAAAACTAAAGTCTTATATTTATACTATTTATTACATACTCGCCAAGAAGATGGTAATATACTATCTGGATTATTACTTAAAACTAAACCCAGAGCTCGACATGCATTCCAACGCACCTTTAATGTATAATATAAAAAAATATATTAAAACATAAAATATAATAATAAAGAGAAATTAAAATAATATTTAATATAATGCAAAAATAATTGATACATATAAAAATTTTCAAATTATAAGATATGAAATTTCTTGATTGTATTTCAAATTACTAATTATGTATTTAATTGATATATTTTAATTTATATACCTTCATATCATTTCCTACTGTAGCACAACTTATCAAAGTCTCTAAACCTGATAATGTATCTTTCAATATATGTTTGTTAGAACATAAATATAAAATACTTCCAAGAGCTCGAACAGAATTGCATTTTACCTTATCATTATCCTTAGATGCTTTAATACTAACTTGATATATTTTTGGTAATAAAATTTCCAAAGAAATAGGTTCAATATCTTCATAATCTCTATAAAGAATATTTATAAGAATATTTATAAAAATTTATAAAAACTTTAAAACTATTACAAATTTAAATTTTTATATAAAATAATTTAAAATAGTTAAAAAATATTACTTAAACATTTATATATCTATAACTAACTTTTCTTTAGAAAGGCAATTGCACAAATTAGCTAATGCCCATGCTCCCTTAATACGAACACCGAGATTTTTATCATCAGCAGTTAAACAAACTATATCAGCTAGATCCATTAAAAATCCAGTTTCTTCTCTTAATGCAGGTAATGTGACTAACATTCCTAATGCTCGTAATCCAGCAGCTCTTACAGCACTTTCTTCATCATGTACTGTACCAAACAGTACTGTAATAATTAAAATTGTTTGTTGTCTCTAAAAAAATATTTATAAAAAATGTATACAAAAATTGGATATTAAAATATTTTCTAAATGATTTATTATTTTATTATATTTAATAATAACATAAATAATTAATCATTTAAATAAATTTTTTTACATTAAATGTTTTACTATATAAAAATATATACAAATTATCTAAATTTTTAATTTTTATAAATACTTACTTGAAGTTGGACAAATACAATAGAATTAATATTGCCTAAACAATCACATGCAGCTTCTCTTATTATTGTTTGTGGATGTTGAAGAAGTGATATTATAGGATCAAATATAATATTCCAAAATATTAAAGCATTATTATTTTCTGAATCAATGTTCATGAGACAACTAGCCATAATTTCTAGAGCTCTGCAAGCATGTAATATTACTTGTGTTTCAGAATCTTGTATGACTTCTATTAAAGTTATTGTAATCAATTCTATTTGTGAAAATACAAGACTTTCAGTACTAAATGCCATTCTACCAATTAGTTTTAATGATTGAAGACGAACAGGTGTACTCATTGTCTATAATCAGATAAATCATTATTTATTTCTTAAAATTATTTTTTTTTTATAATTAAATTGCTAATTTAAAAAATATATATACCTTATTTGATATATTTTCCAAACAAACATGAATTAGAAAACAGATATTTGTCTGTTTGAATAATTTATTATTATATTCATTTGTCAAATTATTTTTAAGATCTTCAATATCAATCTCTTCGTTATTTTCTTCTTCTATATTTCTTTCTGCTTTATCAATTGAAGTATTTAAACATAGTTGATCTCTATTTATAGTTAATTGTTTTCCAAGTATTTCAAATATTTCTGCAGTCACTGGATCACAAGAAGCAATGGCTTCAAAAGCTGATAATGCGGCAACACGAACTGTTGGATCTATATAATAAATAAGAACATAACATTTTATTTCTTATAAAAAAATATAAATATAATAAAAAAAAAGTATTAATAATAAGAATACCTTTGTAAAATATATATGGCCTACAATTTCTCATTAATTTTGTAGCAAGTCCTGTTTTCAAACGTGCATATGGTGTACCCTGAATTAGAGCAGCAGCACATTTTAAACCATGTGTTAAGACTGCCATATTTGTTTCACTATTTAAGATTAAAGATAAAGTAAAATGCAATTCTTTGATCATTAGACAAACTGTACCAAAAAAAGTAATAAAAGACATTTGATCAACTTCTTCTGCATGTATTAAGAAAGGTTTAACATCAATCAATAATTCTGTTAATGTACTTAACATGTGTTGTTTCACTTTAGATACAGATTCTTTTAAAATACTTCTAGTCAATACTCTAGCATCATTGCGTGATCCAGTAGCAATAATTTGTGGCCAAAATCCAAATATTTCACGACTTGGTGAATTTTTAATAAGTATTTGAAGTAATCGTACAGTTTCTAATCTTATTTTAGAATCCATAATAATAGAATTACTATTTTCAGTATCTGAAGTATCTGAATCACTTGAATATATGTTAATTCCTTTGCATTCTAATACAATGTTATTCTTTACTTCTGTAACAACTTTTTTAGTAGGTTGTTTTCTTAATTTTGCTTTATGATTTTTTAAATTTTTACATTTAGGAATTACATGAATTCGTTCTGGAAGATTCATTACTGCTGGACGAAGTAATTGTGGTTTTAAAGGAGAATAATCTTTAAGACCATAAAATAAAAATGCTTGAACAACTCCCAAAATTTCACCCATAAAGTCAATAGAATGTGGTAATACTTCATTAACTATTATCATTTGCAGAATATGTAAACATGAACATAATATCTATAAATTTAATTTGTAATTAACATTATAAAATTTAATTTCTGTTTTATATCTATTACTTACTTTGGTATGATAATATTTATTATCATTTATATACAAAGAAGAAACAATATTTAATGTAATATTTTTAATGGTATGTATCAATTCTTTTGTTATAAAAACACCATTGTCATTCATCAAAATTCCTTCTAAACAATTAATTGCATAATAATGAGTTTCATTCCATTGTGCATCAGATGAATTTAAATATTTTTTTAATAATTGATTATCTTCAATCAATAATTTCAAATACTATAAATACATATTTTTACTTTAAGTTTTTTAAATATTATATATTCATAATAGTATTATAATATTATAATAAAATATTATATTTTTTAAAAAATATATACTTACATCAATATCGTTAAATTGCTTATTCATTAAAAAACTTTTTAAAGCTAAAAGAATATCATTATGCGTAATAGGTAAAGCAAATTTAAAAACTTCTATAAACCACTGTTTACAATATATAAATATTTGTTCTTGAAAATTAATATTGTTTTGAATTATATTGATTAAAAATCTGCAAAAACTTTGAATCAAAGTTGTTTCTGCAAATGTAATGACATTACATAATTGTTTAATTAGTAATTGCACTCCCTAAAACATTATTACAATATATACATAAATATATATATATATTTGTTTATATGTACATATATATATAAATTTTGGATTATGTTTTAATTAAAATAAAACAAATTATTTTATTACATTGTATGATTAAACTTACATCATTATTTAAATCTGTTAAATAACGATAATCAAGATTATTAAGAACACAAAGATAATTGTTAATTAATTTTGTTTCATAATTCTTTGTCAATACGAGTAATTTTTCTACTATATAATTAAATTTTGATGTATAATTTGTATAGTCTATATTCGTTAAAGCCATTTTTTGTATATTTTTATCTATTTAGATATAACTAAAAGATGTTTTAATAAGAAATATTTATATAAATATTATATCATATATAAATATTTTCAACAGTTATGCCACAGACAAAATATATGATAGATTTATACTTTTCAAAATCTTTGTATCACACAAATTAAAATATTAATGCAAAAATCAGAAATTTTATTCTGCAGTCTTCGATTTAAAATAATAAAATTAGAAATTATATATATATATTTCATTAAATATTGTAAAATATCACATATAAAAATATTTTTTTTATAATTTTTTTTTACATATTTTTTTTACACCATATTTTTTTTAAATATCAAGCTCAGTATAAATAAAGATTTTTTTCTTTTTTCTTTTAATATCTAAATATTAATTCAATTTAAATGAATAGTTTGTAACAATTTGTCATCTCTTGTGAATTGTATCGAGTTTAATGATATATAATGATTTATGATATATTAAATGAATTATTTAATACATAATAATTTATGTATATATATATTTTTTATTACTTCTTGAATTAATACAAAATAAATTAATATTTATTTATTTATTTTTTATAAATTGTATCTAGGGAATTTTTGAGTAGAAAAATTACTTTTATCAGTTGGTGTCAACAATACTTTATCCGGTTATAGATTATATTGGTCTTTTGCTTCCGGTAAACCATGGTAAGTGTAGCGTAGTTTTAAATTTATTGATATTACTCATAAAATTTATAGTATTATGAATTTATCATTTTAAAAAAATTGTTTTTACATATTTTATAATTTAATTTATATTTATTTATTCTTGAAAATGTATAAGAAATATAAAAATTATTCAATATAAACTTGCATTTTTCATAGTTTTCAACCACATGGTATGTATTGTAAATCATATATATTAAATTAATAATTAGAAATTATTTATAATTTATTTATGATATAATTTTTCATTATTATAAAAATAATTGGATTTTTTTTTTGTTAAATAGCCATTTCAAAGGTTCGTAGAATCTGGTCGTATTGCTTATGTGAGCGATGGGCCGCACAAAGGTAAACTTGTTGCTATTGTAGACATCATCGATCAAAATCGGGTAAAATAAAATTTTATAAATATATTTTTTATTAAATATTAAATTGAAGATTATTTAATATAAATTATAAATATAAGTTTAATATATAATAATATAATAATATAATAATGATGATCCAGTATCTTGATAGGAATTGCCGGCTGAGATATAATTGATGTCAATATACTTTCACTGATGGAAAATATAATTTAATAATTATATATTAAAGAAGTAATAATATTTTATATTAAATTTTAATTTTTTTTTAGGTTTTAGTTGATGGACCTTCTTCAAATGTTCCACGTTGTGAAATGAGATTAAATGATCTTCATTTAACTAAATTCCGTATACGTTTTCCATATACTGGATCCACTCGTGTTGTACGTAAAGCATGGGAAGCTGCAAACATTAATGACCTTTGGAAACAAACTATGTGGGCAAGAAAAGTTGAAGCCAAGAAAAAAGTGGGTATAATAATATATATATGTATATAATATATAATATATATATTAAATCATCATATACACATCTTTATATGTCTTTTATGTATAATAACAAAAAAAATTATTCACAGTAATAATAAATACACAGTACACAGTAATAATAGTACACAGTAATAATAAATATGTTTACTTAATTTTAGCGGCTGGAACTTAGTGATTTTGATCGTTTTAAATTAAGAAAAGCAAGACAAATTAGAAACAAATTGAGGACAGATGCATTTTACAGATTAAAAAAGAAAGCTAAAAAAACAAAGACTACAGGTACAAGTAAAAAAGTTGAAAAGAAGTGATTTTTTATTCTATGAAATAAATATAAAATTATCTTACAATTAGCATTAATTATTTAATTACCTTTCATCTCTATTTGTAAGAAAAATAAGTTAAAATTAACAAAAACTGTAATAATAGTAAATTTAATAAATTTATAATTGATTTATTTTTTAAAAAATACAATATAATTTTTAAGAAATATAAAATACACATGACATATATTTTTATAATTTAATTTTATTAATGTTAGTAATACATAATATTCTTATTTTATATATTATAATAATTCTATTATTATAAAATAACTATAATACAATTACGAAAATAATATTGAAGTTTGTCACAATTATAAAGATAAAAGAGATGAAAATATTTTGCTTTTGAAAATTCAAAACAATTTATATAAGATATGTTAAGTTTAGAGTTTCATTAAATAACATATCGAATATTATTAATTCTTTTTAATCATTATTTCTTATATTATATTTGTTATTTACTTTGATTGGTAATGATTTGATTTAATTATTGATAAATTTACTAATTCTTTACATAAGTTTAATTCAACTTTCATTACCTCAGCTGCTTTGGGATATTTTTCGCAATAATCAATTACAAATTTATATGCATTGATACTATTTTGCATATTTTTTATTTGAATTGTTTTATCAGAAGTTATTATCTTATTATACAATCTACCAAGATGAAAGTAAGAAAATAAAGCTGGTTGCATCACTTCATCAGAAAATTCTTGTATTTCGGAATTAGAATTATGAACATGTAATGAATCAAGAAATGCTTGAAAATTTTTTATAGAATTTTTTGCTAAATGATTAATTTTTGTTAATGTTTGTGGTGAAGGTTTTTCATCAGACGATCGTAAACGATCAAGTTTTATATCAAGAATATCGGAATATGTTTCTCCTAATTCAATCCAAATTTGTCTACAGGCAGATTCATAATATTGTGGATTTAATTCCGTGATAACATTTTCTAAAATATCTATTCTTCTTTTATGCATTTTTGCTTGTCTATCTTCATGTTCTTCAAAGAATGATAAATATTTATAAGCTCGAGAATTATCTTGTATAATTAATATATAATCAGATGCATGATTTTCTAAAGTATAATAAGTTTTAGCTTGTTCTAACCATTTTTGAGTATTTAAGAAAACTGATCTAGCATCATCAAAATCTAATAAATATTTATCAGTTATTTGATTGGTAATTGGTTCTATCTCTTTCTCTAAAATACTGAACCTTAAATCATTAATTATTTTTGATTTTGAATTTTTATTTAATTGCTTATTATCCTGTCCTGTTTCATTTTTCTGCATAAGTCTTTCTTTTGATGAAAACATAAGCAAAATTCCATATTTAGCCCAACATCTAGCAACATCTGCACTTCTATGTTTAAAATTTTCCCATTCAGCTGCAAGTGTTTCATTTTCCTCATTATTTTTAGATTTTTGTTCTAATATATTTTTATACTTTTGTAATATATAAAATGCTGCTGCTAAATGATGTCTTGCTTGAAAGAAACTATTATTTTCCATAAAATATTGAGATAATGTTGCTGCATTTAATGCCCAATCAATATAATCTAAATCTTGCACAATTTCATTATGACCTAATTGCTTCCGCAAGGTCATATGACAATATATTGCAGATTGACAATGATCTTTCAAAGAACTATATACTTGAGCTAGATAATATAATGTTAAAGTATTAACTTTTTCTAATACCTCTTTAGGACTTAGTTCATCTTTAATTTGTTCAATACCAAAATTTTGAGCTATATTAATAGGATCTCTACATGGGTTATTAATATTTATAAAGTTGTTGTAAATTTTCTCTGCTTGATCTAAAAAATTTTTTGCCTTTATAGGTTGATTCCATTGAGACCATATAATACCCAATTGATTTAAAGCACTTAATACTGATATAATAGCTTCTGGTTCTAATTCTTTATTTCTCAATAATTTTATACATTCCATAAATTGTTCTTCACTTGCTTTTAATTCTTCCGTATCAGCATGTAATAAACCACGATTTAAGTGAATCATAGCAAGCATTATGACTCTTTCTCTTTGTTCCTCTTGTGACATATTCTCTGAAATGCTAATTAGATCTGCTTCCATTGACTTGAACATTTCAATTGCTTGATATTTTATTTTATAAGGTTTGCTTTCCATTGTAGATTTGTCGACATCGTCCAATAATTTTCGAACATCTTTAAATTTTGCTCGCACTTTTGTAATTGTACTCTGTACAGAGTTGGATTCCATCTCGATTTGTCTTTTTGTTTTTATATATATATATATATATATATGTTATGTATATGTATATTATGATTTATTATTTCTTTATTTTAAATATTGTGACAAATTTCATGATATTATCATGATTTTCAACTATCATACGTTGCACGTATTAAGACATAGTTTTTTTATAAAATCCAGATACAAACATATTTGAGCATGCTCAATAATATGATATAATAAATTTACTAAAAGATTTTTTTACTATAGGAAATGTTACAGCTCTCTCTATATATATATGTCAATGCAATTTGAGCGCACCACGTAGTAGGTACATGTTACTATTGTCATATTATATTAATCTACATTGTCATCTCAATGCGATATTATCGATTCAGAATAGAATAAAAATAAGAGAACTTAATACTCTCAAAGAATAGGATAAAAAAAATATATTGAATGTTAAACCTATTGTTTATGTTATATAGTATATTGATTATTAAATATATATTGAATTATTAAAATATTAAATAAACCAACTTTTATGATAATACAAATAGCATCATATTTTATATTATTAAGTGATAGTTATTACATATAAAATATAAATTTATTGTAAATATATTTTAATGAAAAACTATATAATAATATTCTTATGCATAGGTTATATTTATGATTATCTATGAAGAAAAATATACATATTAAAATTTATCATTTATAATTAAATTAATTTATATTAATTTTTATTAAAATAATGTCTTTGAAAAAAAAAAGAACAACTTTAGCAGATAAAATAAATTCATTAGTTATTCCAACACCAATAAATTTTGATTCTGATGATGAGGCTGAAGAAACAAAAGCAAAGGTAGTTGATTATGATGAAAGTGATAATTCAGATAATAATATTCAAGTTTCAGAGATACGTAAACAAAATGCTTATTTCTTGGATCAAATAGATAAAAGGTAAATTTAAAATTTTATTTTAAATTAATGAATAATTTATTATTCATTATGAATTTATTATTAAATGATATAATTTCTATCATAGATATAAGGGTAAGAAAGTTTCAAGAAAAGACATATTTAAGGATAATGAAAATTTTAATATACAAAATATATCAGAAAATGAAAATATAAATAGCATAGAAGAAGAAAGTGATAATGAAACAAATGATAGTAATAATGAAGAAAATATTGAAGATGATGATAGTAATAATGAAGAAAATATTGAAGATGATGATAGTAATAATGAAGAAGATAATGATAATAAATTTAAATAAGGAATAATTATAATATATCAATATTTCCTTTATAAAATATTATACTATAAAAATTCATTAAATTCATTTAAGAACTGTAAAAGTTTTTAAGAAAAAGATAGTTGATAAAAATATAAAATTAAACATAAGATCAGATTCTTAGAAGATAATTTAATCCTATTATATAATTAATATTTTCAAAAAAAATATTTATTATATTTATTATATTAAAATATATATTATATTTTTAAAAAAATATTTAACATATTCATTTTCTTGACTAAATTAGTTTTTTTACAAGAATAAAGACGAACTACAGATTAGAAAGTAGCTATAAGAATAAAAAAAATGAAATGTAATATAAATAATCAATTATTGTATAAGTTGTAATGATAATGTTTGATAATTATGAGTCAAACATAATAATAAAATATAAAATGTAATGTACGAACAAAAATAATGAAATTTAATAAAGAATAAAAAATTTTTATCACTGAACAAAGCATTTGATTTAATGTTAAAATATCAATTTCGCTCCATGCAATATCCAACATGAATGCATCTGAATTGATTTGGTTGCTTACAATTAACTTCAAGTTGAATGTATTTATATTGGATGAAATATTATATTAAATGGGATGTTATGTTAAAATTTTTAAATTTCTCACTAAATTGATATTTAATAAATTTTTATAATAGTAAATTTCAGAAGAAATAAAATCCAACAAATAATATATTGTGATTTAAATATATAAATTTATAAATATCGATACTAAAAATATCAATAGTTTCGATATATCAATCTCTAAATATCGATGTATCGTTGTCATTCCTAATTCCTTAAAGATGTGTACATAGTCTCATGGCGATAGTATGAATGTCACGTGCTCTCACATATTCTAAATCAAAATAATTAAATTTAATATATAAACAATATCGAAAATAAATATGGAAACCGAATTAGAAAAAAGTAACTGTGTTAGAAATCAATTACAACTTTGGGAAAATTTATTAGAAGTTAGAATAAAATTACAAAAGTGTTTAATTACTAGTAATCAAATGCCTCAGTATGATATTTATAACAATTTTAAAACAAATACAGAATATATGAAAACAACTGATGAAGTGAAAAATAAATTGAAAACATTATTAAATAATATGTTGCAATTGCAAAGTTTTCTTTTAAAACAATATCCTGAAACAAAACATTTATCTAAATATAATAAAAAAAGAAAAGCTGAGGAAAGCAAAGATAAAGTAGCAAATATAAGGAACCCAATGGATGAAGAAATTCCTTCAGATACAGAAGATGAAAATGAAAATAAAGATGAAAAAAAATATAGAAATTCAAATATAGAAGATGAAAATGAAAATATAAATAAAGAAATTCTTTCAGATATAGAAAATGAAAATGAAAAAAACACAATTTTAGATGAAGATATAAATAATTTTAATAACAATATATTTAAAAAGAAATTAAAACTTTGCAATTATGAAAAAATATTAAATAATAATCATAAATCTTATATAAATTACAGAAATTCTATTATTCAAAAGTGGAATGAAAAGACAAAGATAGCTAGTGGTAAATTAAATAAAAATACAAGTGAATCAACATTAAAACAAATTGAATTTGCTTTAAATGACAAACAGAAATTGCGTAATAGAAGTCGATTAAAACGGTCAGAATATAAAATTATTGGTAAAGCAGAATTAACAGAAGATAATGATGTTAGAAAACTTCAGGAATATGATTCTGAAATTTATGATGATGATGATTTTTATCATCAACTTTTGAGAGATTTAATTGAATATAAATCATCTGATATTACTGATCCAGTACAACTTAGTAAACAATGGATAAAATTACAAAATATGAGGCATAAAATGAAAAGAAAAATAGATACAAGAGCTACTAAAGGTAGAAGAATACGATATAATGTACATAATAAATTAATAAACTTTATGGCTCCTATCACAATAAATGATATGTGGACAGATCATGCAAAGAATGAACTATATAATTCTTTATTTGGTAAAATTAAATTACCAGATGAAAAAGTTGGATGCTAAGTTTAAAACAATTAATAAAGTGTTAATTTTGTATATTTTATTAAAAAATATTTTATAAGGTTTGTAGCAATTTGATAATGAAATGAAAAAATATTATTTAATAAAATAAATAATAAAAACTTGTTTATTTTAAATAACAAATTATTTTAAAACCTTCAATAAAATAATTTTTATATAGTAATAATATATAAATATAGCTCCTTTATTGTATATTATACATTTATTCTTCTTATATGTAATATAATATTCTAATATATCTTTTAAAATGTTAAATAATGTTTGTTTTTTTATTGTATTAAACCTGTTATTGTATATTTATTGTATATTTATATTTTTGTAAATAAAATAATTTTAATGTATTAGTAAATTTTTTATGTATTAAATTATTTTTTATAGTACAAAATTTAGAAATAAAAAAAAATTTATTGTATAAATGTAAAAATAAAAGTTATAAAAAATATTAATAGATTTATATAATATAAAATCTAAATTCATAATTCATTTTATTCATTATATTTATTTTATGCATAAATAAATTTTGTTACAATTCAATGAAAATCTGAGCGATACTATCGCCTCTACATCCGTTCTTTTTTTACTAAATTATTTCAAACTCTATAGAATCAGTAGTTTCACTATTGCGTATATTTGATCTATGGTATAGGTGATTCTCGTTTCACTCTACTTAATTTAACCGGTGATTACGCTCGAAAGAGCAGTTGATAGTTATGGATTCTGCGTGTCAAAATTCGGACTTTAGTAATAAATATTTGCTTAGTCAGTTAAATATAGCTAGAAAAGAAATTAACAATTTAAGGTATTGTTTATATTTGATTGCTACTGTCTTATAAATTCATATATAGAATAGATATTTCGAATATTATATAGATAATTCGAAATATCAACAAGTTCCATTTAAATATATTGTTTTACATATACTAGAATATCTTAATAAATATAACATACATATATACATACATATATACATACATACATACATACATACATATACACATACATACATACATACATACATATATATATTGTACATAGAATATTCACATGAAATATCTATTTCATATGAAATAATTGAAAATATTAATATTTAAATTATATTAAATATTTAAATATTTTATATATATATATTTTTATAAACTAATATTAATATATTTTATTATGTGATTTTTTTAATTTTAATAGACAACAAATAAAAAGTCTTCGATACATTCATGAAAAAGATGTTAACGATATAAAACATCTTTTGGAATCATACAAAAATGGATCATCTATGTTGGAAACAAAAGTTATAGGTCCAAATGATGTGAAACCTAGCACTAGTACAGATAATGATGCTATAAAATTAAAACCAATTGGAGTAATATCTACTTGTTTTCCTAGTAAACGTGCTACACCCAGACAAACAAGAGTCTGTGGAAAAGTACCAGGAAAACTGTTATTATATAATTCAATATTTACCAATCCTGATCATGCACTTGAAGGATTACAAGATTTTTCACACTTGTGGTAAAATAATTAAAATTTTTAAGTATAATTTATTTTTAACTTATAATTATATTAATCTTGATTAAATATAATAAAATAAAATTAATTAAATACAAAATATTTTTTTTTCTAATTTTATATGAATTATTATGAATCATTAATCTACAATGCATATAAAATTTATTTTATTTATTGCTAAAGATAATATAATAATTAATATAATTAATATAAAATAATTTCTATTTCAACAGGGTCCTATTCTACTTTCATAGAAATGAATCCACGCATGTTCGTGCCAAAGTTGCACCACCAAGATTAAATGGTACAAAAACAGGTGTATTTTCTACACGTTCTCCACATCGTCCATGTCCAATTGGTTTAAGTTTAGTAAAAATTACAAGTATAGAAAATTATACAATATATTTTGAAGGTGTAGATATGGTTGATCAATCACCTGTACTAGATATAAAACCCTATATACCACAATATGACAGTCCATCTTGTTTTGAGAAATCAAGAAATAGATCACAAGAATCCAATCTAGATGATACATTTGATTGCATAGAAGAAACTGCCAGAAATCAAATATGTGGTACAACTAGTGTTAGTCTTGGAGATGACACAAGAAATTTATTTTCAGAAACTTGTTATAGAAAAACTACTCATAAAACAAATCAAGAAACGGATATTTCTAGAGATGAAGAAATTGCTTTAAGATTACAAGCTGAAGAATTTCAAAGAAATTCTAATTTCGAAAATTACACCAGTATAAGACATTTTTCTGAATTAAATGATATCACTTTGCACAATAATAGTACATTACGACATAATGTAGATGTAACTGATATACATAGAATTCCTCATACATTTTCTGATACAAGATCAAGTTTGAATATAAGTAGACACAACATACTTCCATCTAATGTTGAACAATCAGAAAGTTTATTAGATATAAATAATGAATTACAAAATATTAACGTAAATGATCGTACTAATATTGAATCAGCACATGAATCGAGAAACGTGGAATCTAATTATACAGAAACGCATGCTTCTCGATCTAGACTTTTAGATGGAGCTGATGGACCAAATACCATTTGTGGTACAGATATAGATTTAATTCATAGACGATCATTAAATTCAAGAATCGATAATTCTCCCATAAGAATGGGAGTACGAGAAGCTCCTGATGGAGAAGAAGGATTAGAATCACAAATTCTCACTCCGCAACATTTACCGAATCAAGTAATAAGAACTACATCAAATAATAGTTTTCCAGACAATGGAGATGCACATTTAGTATTTTCTTCTGAATTGAGAAATGCTGAAGATAGAGAATCAAGAGTTAATTCTTCAGAAGTAAGAATTCCAGAATGGATATCAAGACCTCGAACACCTCTATGTGTGGTATTTAACGATCGTGCTTTAATTCAATTAAATGAAATCTTAGGAACTAAAATTAATGATCAAAAGATTGCAATTGAAAATGTATTGCGTGAAGATCCTAGATCTGTATATTTAAGACAACGATGGGGTAGTCAATTTTATACTTTCTTAATTCACGATTTACATATCACTTGTAGATTCGATGACAATCACGGCATAGTAACAGTTTTCCAAGTCAAACACGCTGGTCGTATTTGTGAATGTGGAGAACCTGAATGGCAATGTTTGGGTCATTCACCACCCTCATCTTAAAAAACGTTCTCATATATACATATATATATATATATATATATATATATATATATATACTGCATATATATAATATTATATATGCATAACATTAATTTGCTACTATATTTTTAAAATTGTTGATTACATGTGAATGAATGAACAATTTAATTTATATATCTATAATATATTTTATTTCTATATCATATATTTTTTAAAAATTTCCTTATTATGAAACTTTAGAGAAATGCTTATTTAAAACTTTGTGCATTATAATTGGTATTTTTAATTTAATATTTATCTATAAATTACAATAAATGGTTCTATTTAAATTTAATATTAAAATTTCATAATAAACAATTAGTAATTTAACTAAAAATATTATAAGATTAAGCCAAAAATATTTTATGAGTCATAATCAAATATTAAGATTTTTTTTTCTTGTTTAAAATTATTATCATTGAGAAATACAATATAATTTTAAATAAATTTATTTGTTTTACACAAATGAACTTCAATCTTTTCAAGTTATTCTGATATTTATATTATATAGTTAACATTATTTTTTTATGAAAATTTACTAAAATATTTAAAGTAAAAAATTTAGTAAAATATTTAATTACATGTTTTTTCTTTACATCTTTAACTATTATTTATTGATAATTTTATTGTTAATGAAAACAATCAATTTTTTTAAATCTTTTTCTTTTTTATATATGTAAAAAGTAATTTTAGATTTTTTATAATAGATAAATATATTTAAAAGATTTATCTAATTTTTAATCTAAAATTTATTTAAATACTAAGATGTTAAAAATCTTATAAATTATGATAAAAGTAGATAAATCTTTTATTATTTTAATTATGGAATATTTATTCTATATAATTTTTTATTGTAATTATATTATCGCATAATTTTTTATTGCAATATGAAAGTTCCTATATGTTTAGTCTTTAAACAGTTATAGTGCAAAAGTTATACTTTAAACTTGCGCACAAAATAAAAATATTAGGAAAAAATTTATTTATAAAAAATTGTTCATAAAAATTTTTATGATATTAATACGATAATTTTAGTTTCATAATTTGATTGCATTAAAAAATTACATTAAAAAATTCATAAGAAAAAACATTGTTAACTGTGATTATAAATATATATATATAATTCAAGTATACATTCGTATTGTTGAATCTGCACCTGCAGAAAATACCCATGGTTGAATAGGATGGAACATCACATCCAAAATACCAAAATCATTATAAGATTCATGATTACATAATCTCTTAAGTGGTACAATCAATGCATTTTGCAATAAATCACTAAAATGCATTATGAAATAATTAATACATAATGAAAATTATATTAAATAATTATAAATTATCTTACTTATACACCATTCCATGAGAAACAATAAGGCTCCTATCATCAGAACCAGATGCAAAAAGAGGATATCGCTTATGAAAGATAACACTTCGAACGCCCGTACCATGTAAACGTAATGTCTGATAAGGTTTTGTACTTAAATCAAGATCAAACCAAAGCATTTTGCGATCATAAGTGCCTACTAAAATATTATCACCTCCTAGAAATATAAATATAATTAAATAATGATAATATAAATCATTCATGTAATATTCGATTTATTTACCTGGATGAATTGCCATTGATGATATCCATTGTGAATTCGATAATAATTTTTTAATCATTTCTTGTTTTACTAAATCATATATTCGTATGTTTCGTTGAGTCTAAAATTATTTTTTTTTTTATTGCAATTATACTTATAAAATTATACATTTAATTTGTATTTTTTACTTACTGCTACAAACAAATAAGGCCTAATTGGATGAAATAAAACACATTGTATTAAACCTTTTGATCTAGTAAATGGTAATTGAGATCTTCGTTTCGATAATTGATTTATTAAGACAGATCTGTTTTGACCATCTGGCATAACAGCAGCAAAATAATCACCTTTACCATGCCAAGTTACTTGTTTTACTATCTTAAAATGATTTAAAATTATTCTGATTCCATCAGTCCAATATTCACCTTCTGCTTGTTCCCATTGAACAGCAGTTTTCACTCTCTCACTTACTGTAAATATAATTATTCTAATTCTACTATTTTTTAATAATGTTCATAAAATTATAATATTATAAATAGTTATATTACATTTTTAAATTATACAAATATAATACAATATATTTAAAAATATATATAATAAAATATATAATATAATATAATATAAAAAATATATTAAAATACCTATAACATCACTTTGTGGTATTATTTCTAGTAATTGATTTGTTTTACTAGTAATTAAATGATCTCCTATACCAGGATTTATCAAAAGAATCTTTTTATCTGCAGCTACCGCTATAAGTGATAAAGATTGATTTGGAGACCATGCTGTAGATCTAATAATTCCTCCACATGGAATTGTTTTTACACATCTGCCTGTTGCTATTTCCCATACTATCAAACAATTAATTGTTATATATAATATATAATATACAATATTTCATATAAAGGAACTTACTTTTTAAATTCATATCATCACTACCAGAAGCAATGTATTGTCCCATTGGTTCTACAGTAATACTTCTTATCATATCTGTATGACCTTTAAATACCATGGACATTGTTGTAGGAAATGGTTGTAAATCTTTTGGACTAGGTAATTGAGGTACTAAAGCTTCAGGTTCTATTGTTAATTTCATTTTCAACGCTCTAGGACATAAATACAAATCTAAACATCTCTGAAATCTTTCTTTAACATATTTCGGATAAGAAGGAACTTCGCGAAGTGAATTAAATTTCTGTGGAATGAAATGTAATTTTCGTTTCCATGGTGCTGTTTGTAATTTATTCCATTCTTTTAATTCCTTTTTATCAAATAGATATTCTGGTGGAGGATTATAACTTTCTGCATGTCCAGGTAAATGTCTTTTTGGTGGTGGAATGTGTTTATGAATTCTACGCATTTCTTCAGCTTGGTCATCTGATTGCCACAACATGTAAAATTGTGGATCATTTTTTTTCTGTTCTTTTTCTTTCTTTAATTCTTCTGAAGATTTTATCCAACCCATTTTAAGTGCATGAACTAATTTTGATATTTTTTTAGCTTCTGGTTTAGATGGTAAGAATGAACGTTTATGTTCTGGAAATTTACGTACTGGTGTTTTCATTATTTCTGAAGTAAACCATTCTATCCATGGCTATAATAAAGCAATAACATTAAAAAGTGAATTATTATAGAAGATCAATTAATGAATTATTATTAAATTATAAAATATTAAACAATAAAAATTATAATTAATCTTATTATGATGAATAATGAAATACTTACAGAATATTCATCAAAAGTTACATCAGGAATTTTTCGTTTTTGTATCCTTGTAATTAAATCTATATCTGCTTCACTTAATTTAACATCTTGTCCGGTTTGAGGATCTTTAATTGTTCTCCAAAAATCAGGATCTTCCATTCTTTTCAAAAAATTATCTAACTGATCACCTTTTTGAGGTTTTATAATTTTTTTACCATCCCAATTATAACCAATGTGATCATAGTCATTATACCATTTCATTGGTATATTTCCAATTGTATTGCGAATATCTTCTTCATCAGAACTATCATATTCATATTCATCTATTTGCTGATTATTTATCATTTTATCACTATTTATTTTTTTGCTTATGCTAGATTCAATATTTTTTTCTAAATCTTTTTCTTTAGATCTTTTTATATCATTTAACTTAAAATTATTATCATTTTTTATTTTATTATTCTGTGTAACTTTAGAAATAGTTAATACATTTGATTTATTAATTTTATTTGTAAAGCATATATTTTGTTTATTAATTTGTATTTTATTAGATACATTATTTTTGTTATTGATATTAGATACAAAAGATCTATTTTTTTTTATCTCTTTAGATTTATTTTGTTTAGATTTGAAATTTTCATTTTTTGAAAAGTTTTCCAAACTTTTATCTTTACTTTCATTAGTGTTTTTATCGAGAGAAATATTTTCTTCATTTTCGGAATAATCTTTATCCAAATTAAGATCATCTGAATCTTTATCCAAACCAAGATCATCTGAATCTGTTTCAAAACTTAATTCTTCTTCATCATCAGATTCAAAAACAATTGGATCTTTTTCGGTATCTGATTCAGGAATATCTTCATTTTCATCTATTTCTTCATCTGTACTTTCATCATTGTTATTCACTTCAGCAGATAATAAATCTTCAGCACCTGAATCCTAAATAATTTTTCCATTTAAATTACTTTATATTTCTTTACAATAATCTTTTTAAAATGAATAATATTTTAATTTAAATAATTATTTTTTATCATAATAATAATAAATATTTTAAATTCAACTTATATATAAATTTGTTTAAAAATATGTTGTCATGAGATAAAATTCCATAAAACTTATTTGATATTTAAATACTTAAATTATTTATATATTTAATAAAAAATATTCAATAAGATAATATTTCTATAATTTATTTCGTATTAAAAAGATTTTTATTAAAAAATTTTTATTAAAAAATTATTAGTTTAAAAAATATATATTAAAAAGTTATATATCTTTTATTAATGAGAATGTAGTATTAAAGAAACATTACCGATTCTTCTTTAAATATAGATTTTGTTGAATTCTCTTCTTCTTCTGTAACATTATTTTTAATTTTTGTGTTACTCAATTTTCTTTTTGAAGTTTTCTGTTTATTCTTCATTTCTTCACGCATATACAAAAAGTAGAAAGGTTATGTATTCACGTGATATTAGTTTCAAATTTATGTATTATATACATAACCATAAATAAAGTACTTACATAATAGAACAATAACTTAATATATAATAATATATTTTTCTATTTCACACAAGTGCAAATTTATTTATTATTATTATTTTACATATTATATATTATTATTATTTTACATTATTATATATAATATGAATAAGATATTAAAAATATTTTAAATTATTTAAATAATTTGTTTTATTAAATTCATATTATTTATTAATTATTATTATTATATTATTATTATTATTATAACAAATTTATTAATTATTTTAGTATTGTTAATTTATTTTAATATTATTTTCAATATTAGATAATAAATTGAAATTTTTTAATTTTTAAAAATTTAAATTAATAAAAAATAATTTTGAAGAATTATTTAAATTAATTTCTTTAAATTTATTTGGATTATTTTCTATTAAGTTTAAATTTTCTTCAATAATTAATAGAAAATATAATAGAATAGAAGTCAATAAAAAATATAATAATAAAAAATTGTACTTATCGTATTTATTGAAACGAAAAAAAATATGAAAATATCTCAAATTAATTAAAATTTAAAATCTAAAAAAATTGAAACATTTAGTTAAAAAAGTTAATTTTTTTTTTATTTTAATTAGTAATTAGTTTCACTATTGATAATATATAAAATATATAAAATGTATTATTTTAATCTTTATTAATTAATAATTAATTTATTAATTGTTTAAAATTATTTAATCAATCCTTTATTTTTTTATAAATGCTAAATAAAAATAATTAACAAAATTTTAATTTTTCAAATAATCAATAAATATTTCATAAAGATGAATTAAATTTTATTGAATATGTAAAGAAACATTATAATTAATTATAATATGAATAAGATATTAAAAATATTTTAAATTATTTAAATATAATTTGTTTTGTTAAATTCATATACATTATATAAATAAAATACTTTATTTATGTACATTTTTCTATATATATCTTTTTAAAAAATTTATATAATATAGATATGAAAATTTAACTATTCATATTACTATAAATGAAAAATAATCTATAAATTCTTACAATATTTTTTAATTTGCTATATCACTATATTATATTTTATTTGTTGTGCAGTATTAGGTGGTGTAGTTGTTGGATGAATATGAACAGGTAAATCCCAAATCATTGTTTCAACATCCAAAACTAATGGTCCTTGCCAATTAATACTAGTTTCATTTGGCATTTCTACTAGTTTTGAAGTTGTAACAAATTCAAAATGTAATCTCCATTTTAATGTCATCAAATCAGTAGTAAAATCTGGTGTTACATGTAATGGTATTGGTAATACTAAATGAGAATATTTTAAACCCATACACATTTCATGATGTTTATTGTAACTAACTAAAGTTGGAGTTATGACTTTTCCTCGTCTGTATTCATCAGAAATATGTTCTTCTGATTGCAATGCAACAGATACTTGTGCACAAGAAACAGTGGCATTTGAGAAATCAAATGTTCCAACTATATCTTCTCCAAGTTTATAGGAATTTTTGAAAAGACAAAATCTTACGACGCGTCCACGTCCATTTGTAATATTATAAAAATTTGGACTACGTCTAGCTGTTAAATTCTAAATTTTAAAATAAAATATTAATTGACAATATATATACCATAAAATATATAGTTTTTAATAAAAAGTATAATAAACCTGAAGAGTTTGTAATGCAATATCTAATGGAGTTTCTCTATGTTGTGTTTCCATGAATGGATTATTTGGACTTAAATCGACACTATCATTGCAAGCAGCTACTTCAGGCAATTCTGAAATTGTTAAATTGAAAATTATATGCAAATGTACANATTTTTTGTTTTTTTCATTACAGGTAAAATTTTACAATCTTAATTTCATATATAAAAAAATTGCATATTTTTAATATAAGAAAAATTGATAATAAATTGATAAAATAAATGAAAAATTTCTATTATATTTAGTATAATTAATAAAATAATAGTTTTAAATGCAATTTTCTCATATTTTTGCGATATATAATTTTTTAGATTAATTTTTACATTGTAAATTTATTCATTTATTTCTATATAAAAAATAAATTTAATAAATCAAATAAATAATAACTACCACTCAAAGAAAGTACTCTAAATGGAATTCTAAGTAATTTTATAGCTGTGTTTACTCGTTGTGTTCCAACAGTGATTTTATATGAATATTTCACTGCATGTCCTCTATAAGATGGAGGTGCATCGCTTGGAATTGTTTCCCGATAAAGATCTATAAAACTTAAATATTTAATTTTTAATCAAAAATCTAAAATATATCTAAATTTTTATTATAGACTCACATGTTTTACTTTCACCGGGAGATAAACGTAAATCACAAAATAAAATTTTAGGCTTTGTGTTTAGAACAACATGACCATTATCTTGCTGCCATGGTGCAAATGTTGTATCTGTAAGATACTTATTATATATAAAAAACAAGTTGAATAAATTATAAAGTTAGAAAAATAACTAAAGTTAGAAAAATAATATTTAAATATATACATCTATATATAAATCTATATATGAGATAATAAAAAAATGGAAAAAAAATTATTATTTTAAAATATAATAACTTACTTGCATTAATAGCAGCTAATTGAGCTGTCATGTTTAATTTTTCTGAAAAAACAATTTTACTATTTGTGGAACATTGACAATGAACTTGAGCACTAGCCCATGCAAGACTTTCAAAAATATCACTGAAATTAATTATAATTTACATATAAAAAGTAGAAAAAGATTTTTTCGATATCAATAAATTAATAATATATTACCTATGACTTTGAGAAATTTGATGAATTGGATTTGGAGGATTACTAAACGAAACTAAACATTCTATAACTTCACCAGAAAAATATACAGGTCCTCTAATTAATTTTGCTGTTATTTCAATCATTTTTATTATAAATTGCAAATAATTTTCTTAAATAATTTTTAAAATATGTTTATTCCTTATATAATGTAAATATTTCGTGTCACAAAATTCGTTTTATATTTTATAAAAATTCAATTTTTCTGTTCTATTATACAAAATGATATTTAAAATTAATTTCATTTATTATTTTCAATTTGTGAACTTCATTTCATTATTTTTCTCTTCTATGTTCAAAATTGACATTTTTAGGATTTCATTAATATTAGTCTAGAATTATAAATATATAGAGTATCAATAGATATTAAATTTTAATATTAAATTTTATTATTACACATGCATAAATTGCACATATATAATATTTTTAAATATAGTTTACAATATTTCAATCTATATTAATAAACTGTGTCTATATATATTATTTAATTTGTTATAATTCAATTTAAGCCATTAGACTTAAAAACAAATTACATGTGTAAAATTTCAATTTCTAATACGTATCCATTTGTTTGTTTCTTAGTATATTTTGTTTCTTCTAATAATGCTTTTTCACTTGATGATTCAATATTTATTGATAAGTATTTATGATAAGTATTTATGATATTGATAAGTATTTTATTAGAAATACAAGTTACAGTAATATAGTTATTAAAAAAATAATATTTATTTTTGTAATATCTGTATCACAATGATATCAATTTTTTACTTTAAATTGTGTAATCATCAGTGAATTAACAATAAAAATTATTATTGCAATGGAAAAAATAACTGTATGTGAAATTTTTAACCAAGTTGATGACAAATATTATACACTTTATGTAGAATGGTTTAATTCATATCTTAAAATAATGTTATTAGAATCAAAAATATTACCGCTGATTGGTGAGGTTAGTTCACAAATCGAAAAAAAAAAAAAAATTAAAAAATAAAAAAAATTTCAATTATATAAATTTTTTAAAAATATATAAGTTTTATTCAATAAAAAAATTGTTATATTGTAGATGAACACTAAAAGTATAAATGATTTTTCTAATGAATTATCTAAATCATTTGATGAGTATTTTACAGAAACAAAAAAAATACTTTGTGGGGAAGATACAGAAATTAAATATTTTATTAAAAATAAAATTTTAGAATGGAGAAACAATACATGGATCCTTGGAAAAATTGAATTGCATTCTATTTTAGATATTCAAGTGATGTGTGAAAATTTTCAACAACTATTAAAATTTTACCAAGGTATTCAAAATAAAATAACTATATTGGAAGAAAAAAATAAAAATTTAATATGTATAAATGAAACATTAAATTTGAAAATAGAAAAAATGATAGAAATCAAAACTACTATGGAACAAGATCTTTATAAAAAATTTATAGTACTCCTAAATTCAAAAAAAAAAAAAATAAAAAAATTAGAAAATACTATAAAAGAAAAAGAAAGTAGTAAAAAATCAATTTTTGATGTATGTACAGATGAAAGTGAAGAATCTGAAAAAGATCAAACTGAAAATTACATTTCTACACTATCTACCATTAGTAAACAAAAGTCTTTTATTAATAATAAGCCACAAAAAATACAAAAAAATAAAAAAACTAATAATATTTCTGATGATAAAATAATTTATGAAGCATCTAGCAGCAAAGATTATTCAAATAATTTTAGCTTTAAGAAATCAAGAAGTAGTTTAACTTTTATCGAAGAAGAATCTGATAATGAATTATTTCTTTAATAATATTTTATTTATAACTTTTATTTACAATTTACAATCTTTTAAAATATTATGTAAGAATATTGTGCAATGAATGCTTAAAAATTGTTTATATTATGAATATAAATAATATTTTATTATATCATATAATTATTATTTTACTTTAATGAAATTTAATTCATGAAAATATTCTAATTCATGAATTTTATATAAAATATTTTTTAAATATACTAAATTATGATGAAAAAAAATCTAAAAATAAAATGATTATTATTAATTATTATATACTCTATTTTGTATATAAATTATAAATATATAAATACTATTATAAATTTCATTTTATAAGTATAATGAATTAATCAAAGAATTATAATTAACATAATTAACATAAAACTATTGTGAAATTATAATATGTGCATTGTAATATTCACGTAATATTTTTACTTTTCAATAAAAGAAAATATGTATATATATATTAAAAAGAAAATTTTATGCAATATGATAAAATATGACCTATAATTTTTTCGATATAATATTATTTCTATAAAATACTTTTCTAATGCTAAATTATTATTCAATTTATTTTTTCAATTACTTTTATCATCCATTAAAATAAAATATTCTTACAGATTGAATGAATAAAAATAAAATATATAAATTCAAAAATATATAAATTCAAAAATGATGGAACATATTTAATATATCATGATCCTATATAATTTTCCGAATAGTACGATAATGCACATATTGCAAATAATTTGAATCATTATTATATCATTTTCATTTGTTTATTGAAATATAAAATATATTTATTATTACATTTAACTATATTATTATTATATTTAACTAAGTATTGTAATTTTTAATCATATTAGTGATTAAATATATTGAATTCTGATCTGTAAGTTTAATGCATTATCATTTCTATTTCTCAAATATGATTGTCAAAAAACTAATACTAATGATAATAAATATAAATATTTATTGAATATAAATATTAATGTCGTATCTCATAAGAAAATTGTCGATCATTCTGTTCCGATATTCGAGGATGAATAGATGAAGGTAATGTTACCGGAGAAGAATTAACAAACGGTGTGTGATAATCGTAACGATAATAAGCGAATGATTCCCATCGGGATGTATGTTGAACATTTAAAGAAGTAGTTGTAGTAACTGGTGCATTATTAGCGTAATAGTTTCTTTCTGTTACATTCGGAACATAATTGTATTGTGGTTCTAAAAGACTTTGCAGATGCCGTATGTATGTAATCGCGTGTCTAAGCGATTCGATCTTCGAAAGTTTTTTACCAGGTGGTTTACAGATTGGAAGCTTCGATCGTAACAATTCAAAAGCACGATTCATATCACGCATTCTTGTGCGTTCACGATCACAAGCTGATTTTTTATAATCTGAGAATGAAATAGAAATCAATTTAAAAAAATATATAACATTTAAATTATATATAAGAAATATTTTTTGATATAAATATAATTATAAATTATAATAATTATAATAATATAAATTTATATAATTTTTATAATATAAATATTTTTTTTTATTTATAAATTAATTTTTAACACATAGAGATATAACATGAAATGATAATAACTATAGAAATAAATATTATATATAAAAAAATAAGTTATTTTATTATTTATTATTATTAGAATTATATATTATTTATTTCACCTTTCTCAGTTTGTGATGATTCTCTTTGAACTGATTTAATGTTAGTCTCGTGAAGAATTTCTAAATGAGGATTGCTATTAATCATTTCCGGTTCGGGAACTCTTATTACAAATACTCGATCATCACTTTGTTGACGATCTTCGAAATTTCCATTGTGCCATGATCTTCTTGGTGACTGTCGAGATATATTTGAATTTTCTATAAATAAATATTGTATTGTAATTACTTTTATAATTATTTTCTAATAATTATTATTTTGAAATATTTTTTTATATCTTAATAATTTTAAATAATAAATTATCAGAAGTTGATATTATAATTCACGATAAAGTATTCGATGGTAAGATATTTTTATCATATGATAAAATATTATTATATGGTATCTATATTTAATATTAAACAAAAATTGTTCAATATCAATAAATAATAAGATGACTAATAATAATAATAGCTTTATTAATTGAATAATATTATGTAAACATATAAAAAATATTTCTTTGTATAAACCTGTCAATTATATCCTTTATATGTGTCTATATATCATGTTCTGCATATTGTATAGGGAAAAAATTAAATGTATACATATATAAATAAATATTACGAATTAATATGAATATATACCATGAATATACCTGATCCATTTCTTATTAACTGATCTTGCAAATATTGATTGACATTGGGCAATTTAGACGATAAACTTTTCTCTTGATTTAAGATTTCTTGCTGTTGCCGTTTAGAATTTTTATCTAGATCCAACAATATAGGCGAATGAGCGCATTCTTCGCTATCATTTTCTGACTAAAAAAAATTAAAACAATTTTCGATTTTTAGAAGTGTTCTTTTCTTACACCTTTTTTTTTTGTAAAAAATTATTTAGAAATTATTATTATACGAAATGAAACATGTGAATTCAAAGATTTTATCGATTAATCCTTTTCACGTACAATAAGGTGTATAAGATAAAATTAAAAATTATTATATAGTTATAAGTAAGAATAATTTTCGTGTACAACATCTGTGCATCTATCTGGATAATAAAAAAAGATTCAAAGAATAATTACAAATGTAATATATAATTTAAAAATATTAAAAATATTTAATTACACATGAACAAACATGATCCTATTTAGAAGATTTTCGTGAAATAATTATATCGAATGCAGAAGAAACTTTTCGAAAGGAAATTTTTTGAAAGAAATATTTTAAGATGTCGAATAAAGAAAATTGTTCTTTTTCATTTATATTTCTAAATATATTTTAAATTAATTCTTTATTAAAAAACATGTTAAATATAATCATTCCTTCATTTATTCGTTTCATTTTTATTATTAATAAAATTTAAACGTATTTTCTCCAAGTATTTTTACGAATATACCTTAAAAATAAATTTCCCAATTAATTTCTAGAAATCTTCTATTATACGCAACAAGATAAGTAACGCATTAAATACTCTCTACTTTTGTACATCGAAGAAATTTCAAAACACGGTTTAAATATGACATAATATAACAGAAAAAATTAAATCACAATGTTAAAGTTTCCTAAAAAAAAAAAAAAATAATAAAAATCTGAATCTGAAAATTGCATCTTCCTGTATAAATACCGCAAATACCCCTATCTATGCGTAGCAGGGGGTTGAAGGGACATTACCTCGTTTCGCGACAACTCGTTGCCGTATTCCTCCGAGTCCATTCCGAAGAATCGAATGCTTATTAAGAGAAATTCGTCGGATCGTTCCTAGAACAGTTTATCCAAGAAGGTGGTAAAGGGTACTGTCGATCTATCTTCTTCGAGGAACTTTTCTCGAAGGCATATATCACACGCAAACTGTCGAACTCGTTTGTCGTCGGATAAGATGTGGATCGGTCACAGACAGTCGTTATTAATGTTAATTTTATCCATTTATTAAGTATTCAGGTGTTCCAACAGGGGCTCTCAATTTAAGGAAGGCATCGAATGATCGTTTGTCCAATGATTTTTCTCTCGAATGACCCTTACGCGATGTCTCCTGAAACTGAAATAAAAATTTGCTGAAACTGTGCGAAGTTTATGCGAATTATTAATTTTTCCTTTTCCGTAATTCCTTTTTTTTGTAACTTTATAGATATTAATTAATCTTTCGTGCATGGAAAATTAAAAAAAATATATAAATAGTTATTTTATTTAGTTGGATGATATCGTTATTCGAAGATTATGATCAATGTTGTGAAACTTGTACGAATTTTATTTTTTGTAATCTTTAAAATAGAGGCAATCGATGCAAATATTTAAAAGAAAATTTTGTTTTTATACCAAATAATAAAAGTATTGAAAATTCTACGATAAATGTTTAAGATACTCGTTGTAATGTTTGTTTCAATGTGTAATTAAGTAAATATTCTTATCAATCGATATTTGGGAATAATTAAACATAATATTAATACCTCGAAATTCGATGATTAAGATATAGTTAATAGAAGTTTTGAATTCTTGGAAAATTCGTAAGTGGATAAATAAAGTTTTTATTTCTATTTTTTTATTTTATTCAAGAAAGTTTTAATTCTTCGAATTTTTTCATATACGATTGAATTCTAAATAATATATTATTTTATTTTATCTAAAATAATTCATATATTTGGAAAAAATTATTTTTAATCGATGTAAACTTTTCTTTTATATTTTGACAAATAAAGTTATCGAGCAAATTTTTTCATGTATAATAAACACTCGTAATTTTCATGCTTACTTTAATTTATCTTAATATTTCGTATATAAAGATTGTGATATTATGAATATTATCATTTACTCAATTTTTACTCAACAAACATTCTTGTCAAATTCTTCCTGTCAAATTGAATGAGAATCTCTGGGATGATCGGAATAAAAGTGGGAATGCAAACAACAAAACATAATAGACGCCCGCTATGGAAATGCGAATGGAAATATTAGTGAGACGAGCGATGCAAGTATAACGGATTGTGAAGAATAACGATAATCATTTTTGAAAATGAGTGGGAAACTCTAACTTTATAGAAAAATTAAGTTTATTTAGATGACGGTGAGAAAAAACCGGATATGGAATGCATTAGAAAAAACTGTACAAATTCTTATAGATATTTGTTTTTTAATCTGATAAGTAGCTTATTTTTATTTATTTAAGAAATGTATATAATAATGCATTTTTTATTGAAGTAACGAAAGTAATGAAATATATTATAAAATAAATATTTATATATGAAAAATTGTAGACGGCTGTTGCTTTTATTATATCTTATAAATTATATCTTAAAAATTTTCTGATATATCTGAAAAATATTGTTTGAATTTTACTTGAAAAAAAATAAAATGAATTAAAAAAATTATTTAAGAATAATTTTTATGTAAATTTATATAAATATAAATATATATATAAATAATATTTATATAAATATAAATATTATTAATAATTATCGTCTTTGAAATTAGAGATATATTATGAGGCCAAGAATGTAATATCTATTTTTTTACATTAAAGATTAAAATACATTGTACTTTTGAAAAAAAAATGATAAAAGTGCGTTTAATTGACGTTTAATTCGTATTTTGTCTTAATCACGCGCCAAAAGCAAGCGTAGACAAGGATAGTAAATAGTGAGAGAAGGATAGAAATAGAATAAAAATATTGAAATCAGCGCCATCTTCAGAGTGCCGTAAATGAAACACATAAAGAAAGGACAGAAAATAATGAGAAAAGGATAGAAAGAGAATAAGAATTGATCATTAGTGTCATCTCTTGATTGTTAAAGGTATCTCTTTAATAGGATAAAGTAGAGTAAGAATTAAGTATCATGCGCCATCTCTGAACTATTTCTAGAAAAAGATTTAAAAGAAATGTTTTTGATATCCAAGAGATGGCGTTAATGGTCAATTCTTATCCTATATCTATCCTTCTTTAACTATTTTCTGTCCTTTATTTTTGAGTTTCATTTGCGGCACTCTGAAGATGGCGCTGATTTCAATATTTTTATCCTATCTCTATCTTTCTCTTATTATTCTCTTTCCTTGTCTATTTGTTTTCTCTGCGGCACTAAAGATGGAGCTTTAATGCGACATTTTTTCAATTTTAATTTTATTTTTATTTTTCTCTCACAATTTGCTTTTTTTTATATATTTTTAATTATGGATATTTTTATGAATTTTCAATAATATAATGTAATTATCATTATATATATTTATTAATTTTACACAAATTGAGTGATAATGTATGATTGTTTTAAAAATACAATACATTGAATGAAAAAATGTTCATTATATTTACAAATTTTAATGTTATACAATACGCAATTATATTCAGTCAGCATATGCTTTTTTTGATTTAAAGAAATTGATATATACAAAGGTTTTCGTAATTTAAAATATATACGAAGTATTTATTTAAAAATTTTATACTGACCAGAGTTGCATTAGCATAATTTTGTTCATCTTGCACGTAATTGTAAAATCTGTTTTAAAATAATTTTTAATAAAGAAAATTTTACATGTATAATAACATGTATAATATTGATAAAAAATTATGTATAATCGATAAAAAATTATATGTATATTATAGTAAATTATACAACAATGGTCAAATACGAGTAATAATAATACTAATTATAATATAAGCTAAAATATGTTTCTAGGAATGATGCTTAGAAATATGACAATACAATTTTCTAACAATATCACAGTGTTGGTTTCTCATCTGTTGGTTCTTCTTTTATAGGATGATTACATTCCATTAATGCAGGATTCGCCACGGCAATTATATTATCTCCTCGCGAAGCTATTACCTTTATTTGATTAAATTAAAATTAGAATAAATAAATATATTTAACATAACACTATATATATATATATATATATATATATATATATATATATATATATATATATTATAACGATATATTAAAAACATACCTTAAGATTAAAATCACTTTCTTTATCCGTATTATCTGCTTCAACTTCATTAGTGTCCTGCAAATAAAATTATTCTGATTAAAATATATGAAAAATTGTTATTATTTTTTAATTTTTTAATAAAATTTTTAATTTGCAATTATGAAATATATTGAATACTAATTAAAACAATTATTTTTAATAAAATTTAATAAAATGTAATTTAATCGCTTACATGTATCGACGAAGATTCTTCATTTGAAAATGAAAGTTGACTATCCGAATCACTAATCTCCTCGATACTCGCACTAAACATGCCATTGTTATTCTTCTTCCTCCAAACTGGACTAAAACAATGCAAATGTCTGAACATCAATATATACTTGTAAAATGATCTTTTTTACGTGATATCCAAGATTTTAAATATTCTATATGAAAAATATTAAATCCATTTTGTAGTTTAGATTCAAAAATAAATATTTTTAAAATGAAAAATATATCATATATGTATTTAATTGAATTAAAATCCAATTGAGTTGAAAGTAATCACCTTGAAGATCTATGTCTTCTGATTGTCGAGTTACTTATATCCATTTCAGGACAACGTAGATCCAACTCCTCCTAGAACAGTGAACTGCTACAGATAGTAGAAATAACAAATATAGTGTATTAAATGAAAGACAGAAGAATAATAATAATTAATATCTTTGATACAACAAATATACACAACTCGTAAGGACACCAGGAACAAAGCATAGAGTCCTAACAAGTGTGGAACAAAACGATTTATTGTAAATTATTTGCAGATAATATATATGAATTTATAAAAAATATTTTTTAAAAAAAAGAATATTTGAAATAAAATATGAAATATTAAATAATTAATTTAAAAAAGAAATTCTCTCTCTCTCTCTCTCTCTCTCTCTTTCATTCTTTCTCATTCATTTACTCATTCTTTCTCTCTTTTTCTTTCTCTTTTATTTTCTGTTATTTTTTTTAAATCTAATTTTCCATAATATTCTAATATTTTGATATTGAAATAAATAACATAGAATCAACATACAAACAATCAGTGCAAAGCCATGCATGTTATGCAGAAGCTATACTTGACCTTTTCTGTTTGTGCTTCACGTGTATATGAAGTAGTTTATGTGATGTAATTATTTTGCGTGCTGGATGCATAGTTAGTAGGTTAGCGCTCATGCGAGTGCAGCAGCTCAATAATATGCCAACGATTCCAGATCAAATCACAACTATAGGATTCCATCAAGAATTTTGAATCATATTTTTCTATCTTTGGAGTATAGTAATATTTTAATATTTTAAATATTTTTTATATTTAAGATCTCTTTCTTATTATTTTATGATTATTATTCAATAATTTTTTAATTATTTATTATAATAATTTAATAATTATAACTTAATATTAACTACAATAATTATAATTTATTTAAATAAGATAATTTTGTTTTAATATGCATTTTTTTTAAATTAATTGATTTTTGTTATGCTTTTTTATAATGCATTTTCAAGTATATAAAAATATTTGTTCGACTATTTTTTTTATTTGTATCATACTACACCTATAGAATATATATGTTATAATTAATTTATATCAAAATTCTTGATTTTATCCTAAGTTTATGATGATTTTGAAATGGAATCACCTGTACATGGCTTTTTTTTATGGTCGACGTGAGCTAACCTGCGTCGCATCTTCATTCTCACCCTCGAGCTCGAGCTTTTGTCGCTTTGTACGCTCGGCATCGTTTTCCTCGCCATTTTCACGTGGTCTCGAAACCGATAAACTAAAGTATTACAAATATAAATATAATATTAACGTAACAATTCCATATAGAATTTTATCAAATTTTATATATCTTTAAAAAAATTAATAAAAGAAGAAAAATAATAATTATCTTTTAATAAAATTCATGATATTTGATATAGGTTTTCTCGCAGGTTTATTATCCATTATTTTTATTTTTAATTGAATTATTCTTCGATTCTTACCTAAATATAAAGATAAAATTTGACAATATTTTATAAGAAATTACTAAAGATACTTACTAATGATTTTTTGAATAATGATACCCAGAATCTCTCACAACACGGCGGGCCAAAGGAAAAAGTTCATCTCTTCTAGTAAGTAGGGCAGGTACGAACCTGCAAATTTGCGCTGCAGCCTCATTTACTGACACTTCGTGCAATGTCAACGGTTTCTCCGGTTTCCTCTTACAGTCAAACCTTCCATAAATTGCTGCATATTTTCGAATTTCTTCCATTCTACGTGGATCACTATCAGGCATAGCCATTACCAACTACGATAGTAACAATCGATTACATCAAAATTTATAAATCACGATTAAAGAAGAAATAATAGATAGATCGTTAAAATATGTACTTCCAAATTTTTGCAAATCTTTTTTTTAACATTATGAGGCTTTGGGTCGACCGGACGGATAGTAGCGGCGAGTCTTTCAGCAGCCTCTGCAAGTCTTTGAATTTGAGATTGCAAAAGAGTTGGGGTGGGTTGCGTTGGACTTGCGGGTGCGCCACCACCACCACCACCGCCACCACCGCTAGGACTTGGGGTTGTACCACTGCCACAAGATGATTCGCATGTTCCTACCTAAAAGAAATATTATTTTTTTGAAAATTTATCTACTTTTACATATTAGGTAATTGCATCTATAAAGAACACTTCAAAATTATTGATTTGATCAAAATTTTTTTTTATATTGTATGACCTTCTTTTGAACAAAAATCTCATTCTTAATTTTGTTATAACATAAAAATAATTCAAGTGTAACTATTCTTTCTGATAAATAAGAAATTATACATAGATATTTAATTTTTTTACATAGATTGGAATGATACATACCTGTAATACACCAGGACTGTGTGAAGTGGCATAAGGTAAAGGTGTACTGGGGCTCGGACTTTGTCGAAATGTGGTCGTGGCAACTGGTGCTGTTACACTTGTAACGGATACAATAGGGCTGGTACTTCTGCATGGTAATGGTGTTAGGGATACGTGTGACGAGACATAAGGTGTAGGAGTTGGCGTTTGAGAGGTCGTTGTGAAACCTTGAAGATTTTGCACTTGTGGCCTGGGACTCACGCAGGGGAATCCCATGCCGGCAGGAGTTTTGCATGTGGCAGACGTTGGAACGACTGGTGTTTGGAAAAGTGCTGTAACAAAATTTTCATAGTTTAATTAATGCTTCTATGATTCATTTATAAAAAGATTTCACTAGAAAAGAATTTATATATTTCTTTCATATTAACTATTAATATAATATCATATAATATAATATCACTATTATTAATATTATTAATATTATTAATATAATATTATATTAACTATTAACTGTTAATATGATAATATATAGTTAATATTCTATATTAATATAGAAATGTAATTTTAAACTCTATATTATATGTATTACTAATATTATTGATAAGATAAAAGTATATAGAAATGTCTCAATTTTCTTGTAAAAAATAAATCAAAAACATTAATTAATCATCAATTTTTATTACAATATTATGGTACTTTACAGGGATTTGTAAGCCATTCCTGAAGAGCTTTTTGAAGTCTTCTGACATGAAGAGGCTTGCTCGCCATACCAACAAGTGCCATAATTTCCAGAAATTCCTCTTCTCCAGCATCACATAATTGTTGCACGTCATCACCACCTATAATTGTTCATAAGAAATGGTTTTTTCTTTTTATGCGATAAAAACCAAATATTTCCAATGAAGATAGATATATCTACTATAATAGATAATAAATTTAAGATATTCAATATCGCATTGACATTAATATTAAATTTTAAGAATTTACGAGTTAAAAATCATGTAAATACTGCATCCTAATATTAAAATGAATTAAAAAAGAATACTCTTTACCCATTTCTAAAAGTGTGTCATAGTAACTCAACAGAGAGGCACGTTGCATCACCCTGTATAGTTGAAGTTCCGCTTCATTCTGAGGTACGGATGTCTGCACGACTGAATAATTCATGTAAAAATTGATGATATTAAAATATAAATATAACTATATAAAATTTAATTTTATTTAATAAAACAATTTAAAAAAAAAAAAAATCTTAAATATACAGTGACAAGAGAATGATCTGTCTCATCTAAAATTTTATCTATCCCAACAGTTTATATTATGATTATCCTTCAAAAGATATTCTTCAATTATAAATTTATTAAGATCTGGAAAAGAATTAATTAATTAATTGTTCGCGAATAATTAGAAACGTTATTTGGAATTAATTGGAATATCAATAAAATAAAAATTCAAACACATATTTCCCATATGCCAATAGATGCTCTTGATAGAAGGGAAAAAAGGGGGGAGAGGAAAAAAAAACGCGAAGATTATTCTCCACGAAGCAAAAATCCGGCATAATTCACGTTCCTTCGAGATTCGAGATTCGTCGAAAATAATTTCCCGGTATCTCGACATATCAAAGGGGTGGATCGTTGGTTGATCGATCATTCGGTTCGTGAGGCCGGTTCGCCGAGCTCACCTCACCGCGAGTGGCTCTCGGCCCCGACAGTATGCGGCAGACGGTCGAGCCGCCAGGGTGTCCGACTAGTTTCTTGCAAATTTCGAGGAACTGCGAGAAAAAGCGGCGTGCACACACGTACAGCGTATAAATTAATACCGGTACCGCTGGCATGGCATCGGACGCCGCAGGTCGAGGAAAGAGAGAGAGAGAGAGAGAGAGATATGGTGTGTCCCGAAGAAACAACCGTATGCCTGTGCGCGACAAGGAGGGAAGGATAGAAATTAAAACAAAAGGGGGAGAAAGATAAAACGGAAGATGAACCGAGAAACGAGAGGAAGAACGAGAGGAGAGCAAAAGTATCAGCGAGATGAAGAGGAGGAGAAGGAGGAAGAAGAGGAGGAGGAAGAAGAGGAGGAGGAGGAGGAGAGAAAAAGGGATATATTTAAGGGATGAGAAGAAAAGAGAGAGAGAGATAGGTAGCAAAAAATAAAGAGAGCGACAGGAAGCTAAGAGAGAACGATAGAGAGAAGAAATGCAGAAGGAGATACGGAGCAATACGGTAGAGCCGGCCCCTGAAAAACCTGGCCGTCAGGTCTTATTACGAAGCTGGGGCCCGGTCTCACGCTTATATACACCGACCGAGATACGAGTAAGTCCCTGACAGCAGCGGGGTGACTCGTTCCGCGAGATTTTTCTGACGTTGGCCCCTGCAGCCACGGCTGAACCCGAAGGGATATGTGGATCTTTCTAATGAGGCGCCGATCTCCTACGTTCCCCATTCCCCCACTTTTACGTTCTTTCCACTGGGTTCATTTCACGAAACGAGCATCGTTATGCGCCTCTAATAAGTGCCATAAAATTTTATTTATTTGAATACCAGCGTATTGTGAAATTAACAGATCCACGATTATGGATTAATATTATTGGTGAAATTTTAATTATTATAGAGTACAATAATTATACAAGTTAATTTGTTAACTAAAACGAATGAAATTCTATAAATTCTAAATTGATCTGAATAATTGAGGTGAAAGTATATTAAACAATTCTAAATACATAGGTACAATTGGAAATTTTAGATATATAAAAGAAAATCATAATTGAAATACGTGTATTCATATGGACAGGCAATGGTAAATTTAATTTCTCTTAGAGATTTAATTTGAGTACACTCTGATCGTAATTATCCGATAGGAAAGACTCTCTACTGAACATCCTTCTCGCGCGATCAAGTAAAGTAGCTATACCTCTGACCGACAGTCTAGGACAAGCAGTGCATTTACATAACAACTTTTTTGGCACGAGATAATCGTTTTTGTCGGCGGGGAACACGTACGCGAGTCGGAGGCAGAGTCGTCACGGCATAGCATCCAATACCGCGCACCAGGGACGCGCTAAGAAAAACCTGATCCTACCGTGGTCTCCTCAGCCTCCCTGGGAACGATGCGTACGCGCCACCTCTTTGCCACCACCGACTTTTCTCTTTTGTGTCCACAGTTCACTGTCATTCCATCACTTTTCAGCGGATTACAAGATGCTCGACTATCTTGTTTCTTCATTCTCTTTATATTTTTTCTTTTTTATTTATAAGTCTCCATTTAATTTGTTAACGAAATGCTTGAAAGATTATCGATATTTAAGATCTTCTTTTACATGGATAAAGTTTCAATAATATGCTTCGCATAACTTTTGATCTCTGAGATTATTTATGAATTTTCGTTTGAAGGTTATATATCATACCTATTAATTTAATGTTTTTTACAGTTGATAGTCTTAATTTACTATATTTTAAATATTCATTGTTAATGGAGTTTTTTCTTCTTGTTAATGTTTGTTTAATCTTTTTGTGAACATATCAAATAATAGTTCTAATTATTAGAAACAGCTATACTTCTAATAATTATTTCATCACTTACATCAATCGATTCTATTCTCAAACGATTCTTCCACGCTCTAATTTCTTTTTCCAATTGAACAAATTTATTAAATAACAAAATTGTTTTCGTGTAATCAAACAAAGCTAAGAGACAATCTAAAGAGTTTTCATCAGCTGAAATAAACTTCGCAAAACTGAAAGAAAAGAAACGAGATTTCCTTCGGGAATACCATCAAATGCTTCAAGAAGAATCGATAAATCCTCCAGCGTAATGGACAGGGAGAAAAGTTAGGCAGGGGATGAAGAAACATGATCATGGTACGAAGAAATCGGGAAGGGATTAAGAAAATAACCATTCAATGGAACATATATATATATAAACGAAGCTTAGAAACGTGAGGAAGGATGAACGAAGTAAAGAAGGAAGATGATGAGAGAAAAGAAAAAGGAAGCCAAGACGGATCCAGTGGCTAAGCGAAGTGAGGTTAGGAGTGGTCTAGAAGCAGCCATCGGTAGATGAGGGAGGTGGTCCTGGGTAAAAGACGTTGGACGTGGTAAAGAGAAGAGAGGATGAGGGTGAGAGCGAACGAATGGTACAGCTTCTTTGTTCGATAGCTCACGGTACGGACGCTCTTCCGATGCAACGCAAAAACGAGTCTAGTTTCTTAGAAGCGGCCGTTCTCGCGCGGCAACGGCACCGCACACCACTGGCGGCAGCACCAGGCAGCAGCAGCAGCAGCAGCGGTTAGTATTTCGCTTTTTACCGGCATTGTAATCAAGGAAGGGTTAGGTGAGTTTTTGTCTAGTGCCTCTGCCGCCGCTTGGACAAAACACCGGACAGATGGACTGAGTCGCCGTTTCGATCCCCCTACCTTTCCTTTCTCTCCCTTTCTCACTATTTCTCTCCCTCTTTCTCTCTTTATCTAGTTCGCGCTAAATCTTTCCCATCTCTCTCTTTCTTTCACTTCTTCTTTTTGCAATCTTTCTCTCTCTCTCAGTTTCTTGGTTATCTTCACGGCTATCCCTGTCCCACCGAACAGCCCCCTTTTTATCTCTCACGTTACTTTCCGTGCACCACCCCTTCTTCCTTCTTCTTCTTCTTCGTAGGTATATATCCCCGTTTTACCTTACCATTTTCGTTCCCTACACAGTTACCCTCCTGAGCCCCTCCCTCTAATATATACCAGCACCACCACCGATGCTTCTCTAGGATAGTATTTTACTTATCCCCACTTTTTGTCTACCCTCTCTTTCGACGATGGTGAACTCCCCTTCAAAGAGAAGGGAGGAAAAAAACTAATTTGCTGGTCAACGATCAACGAAAGAGAAAGAGAGAGAGATACTGCTATGAGATATAGAATCTTTTAACATAATATTTTGTTTGTTAAATGAGTATGAGAATATTTTATTTTTCTTTCTTTTCGAAAAATTTTTCGAGCAATCTTTTTTAGCGAAAAATTTACATATTTTTAAAATACGTTCCAAAAATATTGAAATCATCATAAATCTTATACGACTAAAATTCAAACATTTTTATATTTATCATCTAAAAATATTATTGAATCATAATGAAATAATAGAAATATTCTTACTTCTTATTCAAAGACTATACAGATAATTACACGTTATTTCTTTCCCAAGGATAAAACCAATCATCTCTTTACGATCTCAATAAATTTGTCCCACAACTCACAATAATTTATCCTTCGAATTGATTATATACATTCAGCGTCCCATATTCCATTGATTAACATCCTTCTATCTTAACTTTCAGCCATAATCTTTGAATGGCGACATTTAAAAAATGAAGGGTGGCACGACGATCGATTGGGCCCAGGGTAAGGAAACGTATTTCCTGTGTCTTGGGGGGTAGCAATGGTTGTAGGCAGACATTGGCTGGCTTACCGTTTTTAACTATGCAGCAGGGTGGGGCCCAAATTCCATCCCACAGCCAACCTCCATCACTTTTCCATCCCCTGCTGTTTCAAACTTCTCTCCCTTCCCTTAGGCGCATTTTAAAGTATGGTCGACCGATTTTGTGCCCGCATGCCGCGCCATCGAGAAAAAACTGGCAGTCCGTTAAAATTGCAAAACACCACGACACGTAATCTTTATTTGGTGGTGGGACACAGAGCGGGATGAAATCCACGTCATCGCCGGTGAGAGACGGTTAAGTTCTTCGGCTGTGATGTACTTAATGGATTTCATTCTTACTATTAACCCTTCAATGATGCGTTAAAGGTGACAAAGTTCGAATATACATTATGAAAAATTATATTAATATTGAAACAATTATCGATTTTCTTTTATTTCTTTGTAGCATAGTATTTTAATTTATATTGACCATCAAGTATAATTATATCGAATTTTTATTTGAATATCTATAAAGTTTTTAATATCCTCCAATTACATTATATTTTTATTCTTTATCAATCATTATTAATATTATTTATCAAAGAAGAAAAAAAAATTCATAAAATTTTGTATATTGATTTAAAATATAAATTTATACAGAAATTTCTTAACACACCATGTAACATTGTTCTAATTAAGTAATAAGTAATAAGTTCAAATAATTCTTTCGAATCAAGATATTTAATATCAATCTCGTATAAATAAAATAAATCGAATCGATCATTGTAACGAAAGAAAGAAAGAAAAAAAAAAAAACTATTAAAACGCATATAACAACATATAGTATCACGATACAAAATATTTTTGTCTGATGCATTTCTTCGCCTCCGTGGAAAAGTAACCGGAACGGAAAAGAAGATACTTAATCTAAGTTTCTGTTCGGAGAAACGATGACGCGTCCGCGTAGTATGGCGCAAAAATAGACAATCCCGACCGAGAGAAATAAAATGCAGAAACTCGACGGGGGAACAAAATGAAAGAGTTCGGAGGTCGACCAAAAAGATCTCTCGTCCACGTAACGAAAACAGATTGGGTAAAAAGTCGTGCGACAGGGTTCGGCCGAATAAACAGGATAAATCTGGATTCCATCGCAAATAGCGATGAGTTTAGCGATATACTTGCATGATAATCGTTTTTGCAGCCGTATCTCTCTTCTACCTGGATGTACACGGGACCGTCTGAATCGATATCGTGAATGCGATCGAAACGTTCCGGTAATAATAAATTGCATTGGCCTTTTGCGTTTAATTATTTATATTATTGGATTGGATATGATATCGAGAAAAAAAATTAAAATTAAATGATAAATGATCAATCGAATAATAATAATAATAATATTATATTTTATTATAAATTAAATTTTTATTTTTATTATTTTAAAATTATATCTTTTATTATAATTTTTATTTTGTAGAGATAGTTGAATTGATTTTTTAAAATTAAGAGAAAAATTAATACAAAATAATGCAAAATCGAATATTTTGTATTTGAACATTTCGTCAAAGAGCATCGATTAATTTTTAATCAAAATTAGTAAATAATATAATATCATTAAATTATCATTATTTTTTAATATGCATAATTAATTTTAATTTATTGGTACTTAAGTGATATATATATTAATTTTTGTCATAAAAAACGAATTTTTATGCGTATAATGAAATAATAAAAAATTTGTTATTAGTTATACGTGTGATGAAAAGTAGTTAAATAATTGTAAAGACAATATAAAAAAATAGAAATCTGGTGTAAAACCTCGGAAGAAACGTTTCCCACGGGCATCCAATGTGAATAAACTATTTTTTCAGCAAGTTTTTTCTCGGGTCCAAATAAGATGAAGCAAAGGGTTATAAGCAAAACATCGGGGGCTAATTTTTTTTTTTCTTAAATGGAAGCGCTCGCCACTTTTTAGTCACACTCACACGATCTTCAAAAGCAAGGACTCGCTTCACTGTTTCGATCGCTACTTTTACTTTGCATTTATATATCTTCGATAAGTAAATATAATAATAATGGAAGCTGAATGTTACGTTATCAAATTGAATTAAAGCAATAATCGAAAAATATGAATAACGAATTTGATATCGAAACAGTAAAACGATATACAGACAACAATTAGTTTCATTAATTAAAACCAACTAATTTTCTTATCCCATTCTAACAATATTTCATCATATGAAAAATGATAACAGCAATGGCGAACAATATTACTCGAAAAGACGAATTCAATAATTTCTTCCTATTTTTATCCTAATCACAATTTCCAATACGTATCTACACGCGAAATATGATAGCAACGATATGACGAACAATATTTCTCTCTTTCTCCCTTCTAATGAAACATAAAAAAAACTTAAAGGAAAGGGAGAAAAAAATAGGACGTATTTATCTAATCACGTTCCAATACGTATTATCTACACGCGGAAAAATAATAAAAATAATAGTAACAATGTTACTCCCCCTCTAATGAAAAATGGAAAAAATTCAAAGAGGAAAAAAAAAGACGATTTCCTCCGTGTTCATCGTACTTCAACAACATTCCAACCGCAACGTAACACACCGCCCTGATAAAAAGAAAAACGGGAATGCGAAAGACGAGCAAACGAAGCGAGTGTATACGATGCGCGATATATATATATATATACATATATACATATACGTTTCCCGCCACCCAGCCGCTCTTCTTCTCCCTTAGTCTCGCAAGGTTGAAGACTGATAAAAACGCGGCAGAAAAACTTCTCTATCATAGGGCTTGGGGAGCGAGCGTAGCTGAGGGTGGTGGAGGGAAACTCGCCGAGGCAAAAACGTCCTGAGAAAGGAAGAGATCAGATAGAACGTCGGGGAGCCCGCGCGCGCGCGGCAAAGAAAGAGGGAAGAGCGTATACCGAGGGAGAGGAGGAAGAGACAAAGAATTCTTTTCGAGGTATTTGTTTTTTTTTTTTTTTTTTTTCCCCTCCTCCCTTCTCCACCACCTCCTTCTCTCGTTCGTCTTCTGGGTCAGACCACTCTTCCGAGTTTTTTTTTTTTTTTTTTTTTCAAAGACAGACTGATGGAAAGGGTGACGATATGCATATGGTCGAAGAGGAGGGCCGGACCAACGGGTCCGGTCGGATCACCCTGAGACTCGTACATATGTATTCGTATACATGTATTTTATTCCAGTTTTAGACCACTGCACGGGTAATGTTGGAACGACAGGTAGAGAGGCGAGGGCGCGACTGTGCATCGTTTTTTGGGATTATAGAAGTTTAGAACAAGAAAAGGAAAAGGGGGAGGGGGAGAAAAGGGGGATAACAAAAAAAAAAAAAGAAAGAAAGAGGAGAAGTATATGGGAAAAGGTGTACGCGAGAAACCCCCTCCCCTCACCGGTGATGAGGCAAAGGACTTCTTGCCTGTTAATTTATTCGCGAACGAAATAAAGATCCTCCCCTCTCCTGTGGGAATATTCTGGCTTCTGGTTCTTTACTTCTACATCTTTTGACAAACGATCCATCCTAGCCGTGCAATCGATTATCCTTGATGGAAAAGAACATTCCAGGTAATATCGTGTTTCAATTTTTACATCTTGAATATTAGAATGGAAAGGAAAATTTATGAAATAGGTATATTGATTACGAGTTTTACGATATTGAATATTGTAAATTCATATATTTAAGAGCACAATTAAAAGAATGAAGGTATAACGAGAATTTTAAATATCTTTTATACTTTTGCATAAATTTAATATAATATAAACACAGAAAAATTTTACTTATATTGGAAGTGAAAAGAATCGGCCGAATATTCAGACGATTTCGAAG